TAAATACCACAGTGGGTTATTTGCAGCTTCCTGAGCAAGGAGAGACATGCCAAAGAAAGCCCACTGGCTTTCTCTAATTGATGTCCTCTCTCAGCTGTCAAAAACCTCTTCCACCCACCTGGCATGCAGGAGAGACTTTCTTCCGCCCACTCCCGGACACCCTCCAGAGACATCATACCTTACTTCTAATGTATCACCTGTGAAAAGAACTTACACCCTCTGCATCTTAATAATAGGTATTACACAGCTAAAAAAGGGTGGGGGAGGGTTTTCTTGATCCTTTCTATGACATGTTATTTTTTGTTTAATTTCTGCTCTTCATTATTTCCTTCAACTCTCCAATTTTATCCTATAGTTAATTTATAGTCAGGCTTTCCTAGTTACTTATATAAACTGCTATAGCTATACCCTAAAAGTCTTGCTATATTTATATGTCTATCATTTAGTTCTAAACATTTTCTACTTTCCATTATATTTTCTTAAGTATTCCATGGATTAGAGGTATGATCTTTTATCATCTCTGATTTCTTTTTTGTATTTAGATATAGCATTTTTATTTTCATTTTTAATTGCCTTATTTTTAATTATATTTCACTGACAATGCTATTACAGTTGTCCCAGTTTCCCCCCTCTGACTCCCTCCACCCTACACAACTCACTTCCTCACACAATGCCCCCACCATTGTTCATGTCCATGAGTCACGCATATAAGTTCTTTGGCTAATCCATTTCCTATACTACACTTTACATCCCCATGGCTATTCCGTGACTCCCTATTTCTACTTCTTAATCTCCTCACCTCTTCACCCACTCCCCTAACCCCCCTCCCATCTGGAAACCATCAAAATGCTCTCCATATCCATGATTCTGTCTCTGTCCTTCCTCTCTGCTTAGTTTGTTTTTTTGATTCATTTGTTGATTTAATGTTGATTTTGCCATTTTATTGTTTACACTTTGATCTTCTTTTTCTTAAATAAGTCCCTTTAACATTTCATATAATAATGGTTTGGTGATGATGAACACCTTTAGTTTTTTCTTGTCTGGGAAGCTCTTTATCTGCCCTTCAATTCTAAATATCTTTGCTGGGTAGAGCAATCTTGACTATACGTCCCTGGTATTCATGATATCATTATTTCTTGTCAATCCCTCCTAGCCTGCAGTTTCTTTTGAGAAATCAGCTGACAGTCTTATGGGGACTCCCCTCTAGGTAACTAACTGCTTTTCTCTTGCAGTTTTTAAGGTTCTCTTTATCTTTAACCTTTGGCATTTTAATTAGGATGTGTCTTGGAGTGGCCTCTTTGCATCTACCTTGTTTGGGACTCTCCATGTTTCCTGGACTTGCATGTCTATTTCCTTCACCAAACTAGGGAAGTTTTCTTTCATTACTTTTTTCAAATATATTTCCAATTTCTTGCTCCTTCCCTTCTCCTTCTGGCACCTCTATGATAAAAATGTTGGAGCACTTGCAGTTGTCCCAGAGGCTGCTCACACTATTTTCAGCTTTTTGGGATTCTTTTTTCTTGTTCTGATTGGTTGTTTTTTGCTTCCTTATGTGCCAAATCATTGATTTGATTCAGATGAAACTCTACTGTTGTTTCCCTGTAAATTTTTCATTTCAATTAGCGAATTCTTCATTTCTGACTACCTTTTTGATGCTGTTGAGGTCCTAAGTTCCTTGAGCAACCTTATAACCAGTGTTTTGAACTCTGCATTCAATAGGTTGCTTATCTCCATTTTTTTTTTTTTTTTTTTTTAGTTCTTTTTCTGGGGTTTTGATCTTTCATTTGGGCCATGTTTCCTTGTCTCCTCATTCTGGCAGCCTTTTTGTGTTCATTTCTCTGTGTTAGGTAGAACTGCTATGGCTCCTTGTCTTGGTAGTGTGGCCTAATGTAGTAGGTGTCCTGTAGGGTCCAGTGGTACAGCCTCCTGTCACCCAATCTGGGTACACAAGGTGTGCCCTTCGTGTGGGTTGAGTGCACCTTTTCTTGTAGTTGAGCCCTGGTTGCTGTTGGCAGATCAATGGGAAGGATTTAACCAGGCCAGTCAGCTGCAAGGACTGGCTGTGACCATTGACCTCCAACTGCCACCCTTCATGGAGGATCAGCTGTTCAGGGGCAGAGTGGTGGTGCTCTGATGTGGTCTGAAGCTGTCCACTGGCTGTGCAAGCCCTGGGGTTTCCTGGGTGGTGCAGGTCAGCCTCTACCTGTGTTTTGCCTGAAGGCCACCTTGCCTGAGCTATAAAGCATCTGAGATAGCTGCTACTTGTATGAGCTTGGAGATTCTCAGGAAAAGCCAAGCTGTGAATCTAGGCTAGCTCCTTGTAGTGCCAGGCCTGGGGTCACTTGGCAGGGGGTACAGGAGGTTGGGGGCTCACTGAGGCCAGCTGTTGCTTGTTTAAAGGAAGTTGTGAAGCATGAGCCATGACCAGCCATTCATATGGAAGAGCCACTGTTAACAGCTGTAAGTTGGGTGGGACAAAGCCTCAGGGTACAGTACCTCCAGGGTGGAGCAAACAGTGTTAGCCAGGATTGAGGAGTCTCAGAAATGGCACACACCTGCCAGCTCTGTGGCTCTGTAGGGGGAGACTTTGGAAAGGGGACAGTGGCCTCTGCCCGCTTTTCTATCTGAGAGAAAACTGTCCCCAGCTCTCATCTTGATGCCAGACACTTCTGTCCCTCCCTGTATGCCACTTGTACCTTTCAAGCTGCCACCCCAATGCTGGAGCTCAGGAGTGAGTCTGAGTAAGTCAATATGTGGGTTCTTTAAGAACTGCTGGAGACTCAAGCGGTTTCTTCCACCCTGCTGGTTTTTGCAGCCAGAAGTTATGGGGACTTACCTTCCTGGCACTGGAACCCTGGGATAGGGGACGTGGTGTGGGTCTGGGTCTCCTGACTCCCAAGATATGCCTCCCGAATTTTTATCCACCACAGTGGCTGTGGGACCAGCCCATTCCGTGTCTCTGCTCCTACCAGTCCGGATGGATGTGGTTCAATTTTGCAGTTGTCAGACTTCCATTTAACCCGGTGTCTGATGGCTTCTGAGCGACAATTGTTCTACACTTTAGATGTAATTTTGATGTGGTGTGCAAGATGAGCTGTGTTTACCTATGCTGCTACCTTGAGCAGAAGTAAAAATTTTCTGATTTCTAATACAATGATCAGAAAACATAATCTGCAACAAGAATCAGCTAATTCCGTCTGTAAAATAGGAAAGATCTTAGGCTTTGCTGGCTAAATGGTCTCCACTCAACTCTACCTTTGTTGTCCTAAAGCAACCAAAAACAGTATCTAAATAAACAAGAGTGGTCGTATTCCAACAAAACTTTACTTACAAAAACAGGGAACTGGACAGATTTGGCCAAGGGCCAGAGTTTGCCAAGCCTTCGTTCACATGGCACCAATTCTCTGGTCATTGTTAAGACCTGCTGTTACCAAGCACAAGTTTTGTAACGCTCCATGCATGCCTGAAAATCAATGATCTTATCCTTGGTCTGTTCCACTTCTTTAAGGTGAAGGCCTAGCCCATGTAAACATTTGCTTTTGTGAAATTGTCACAGGAGTAAGAGATTGGGTGTTTGGCATCAGACAGACCTCAGGTGCCATTTTTAACACTTGCTATTTATTGGGTGGTTTGGGCCAAATTATCTAATGTCTCTAACCCTCAGGTTCCTCACCTATAAAGTAGAAAAAACAATAGTACCTACACCTCATGGGGTTGGCATTAGGAAAGAGTCGATTTGCTAATCCGTATAAAGCACCTAGCAGAATGCCAGGCAGACTTCAACCATCATTATCAATATTGACATTATCTTGCCACTGAATCACTACTTTGTGAGTAGTTTCATTAAACCCATTTTACAAAGAAATTAAGGCATGGACATATTTCGATAGCTTGCCCAAAACTGATAGCCAGTAACACAAAGCACTGATTCACACCCAGAACTTCTATTTCCAAATCACAAGTTTTCAGAACTCCGGCTCTGATTAATCCAATCACACTAAGGGAGAAGGAATTTACTGTCACTCCAAGGCAGGGCCGCAGATTTAGACACGCAGAGAAAGGAGTTGAGCAAAGTTTAAGAACTCATTCTTGGTGGTGCTAGTCTTTGGGAGGAAGGGTATAACTCCGGGAGCTCTAAGACTGAAAGGGCATGGAAGGCATTAGCAGATGTTACAAACCACCCAGATTTCTGGAACCAATGTGCGGAGGCTTAAAACCCGGACACACTCTTTTCTGGCTTTGATCCGAGTCTAAGGAGTTGGTGTCACCCAGCGGCGCATCCAGGCTGGAGCTTTCGGCTTCTATGACCTTGCTGCCCACGGCTGTGCTGCCTGCCCTTTTTGGTTCTCCCCCTCCACGTGCCTAGGGTGCTTAACGCCTAAATATAGTCACCTTGGTTGAACCTCTAGGAACGTACCTTAGGTTTTTTTAAAAAACAGGCGCCGTCGCCACTTTGAGACATATATATCACAGCCCTGACCTGCTGTTGATTGAGCGGGTGACGTGCCGCTGATGGCAGCGACAAATTCAGCCCCTTGGGACGACCTGAACTTCTCAACCTATTTTTTTCCCCTCCACTCGGCACATGTCATATATCGTGAGGACTGCCGAGCACCCCGAAGACCGTGTTGTACGCTGGACAAATAGCCCAGGAATCTCCATTTCTCTCAGGTCCGACAACCTAGAAATCTTCAAAGCCTTATCCTGTGACAATCACAAGGGTTTTCTCCGCCCGGCTGGTGACGGAAAACTCGTGACTCTGACCTGAGCGCCGGGCGGACGCCGAAAAAGTAGGGGCGGAGCTGCAAGTCGAAACGCGAGAAAGCACCCGACAAGCAGCGCGTGCGCAATCTTACGCCATGGAACCTACTTCCCGCCGCTGAGACTAGGAAGCGGGACGCCAAATCTGTCCCTGCGCAGACGCCGCCGGCAGCTTAGAGCCAGGTGGCCGCCCTCCCTGAGGCGCGCCTGCGCACGTTCCCGCGCACGTTCCCACGCACGCCCCGGCGTACGGCGGCGGCCAGGGGTCGCGAGCCGGTGGAGGACCCGCGCGCGGAGGAGCCCGGAGAGTCAACTCTTCTTCCCTCCCTTCCCCACTCCCCTCCCCGCTCCCTCCCCCCCCTCCCCAAGAATGCTCCGCTACGAGGTGAGCTGTTGCGACCGGAAGTGACCCCTCCCTCCCTCACGAGCCCCTTTTCCTTACTTCTTCTCTGTGCTTCTGTCCCGCGCTCCTGGGGGGGAGGGGACGGGCGGTGTGACCTGAGGGACCCAAAGGGGCGCGTCTGGCCTGGAGTCGTGGGTTTATCTGAGAGCTGTGAGCTGGCTTCAGGGGGCGGCACTGTCCTTTTAGTTGTCCCTGGGGAGAGTTGGCCTCCGTTTTGAGGTGGGGAGGGCCCGTTCAGTGCCTTACCCAGACCACCCGCCAGCCCCACCCTGGGAGGAGCCGCGGAGGGGAGACAGTGCACCCACCTGGTGGCTCTCCCTGAGGAAGGGTCACCGGGGAAAGCCCAGAGATAGATTTCCCGCCCTGGATCCGGAACCACTTTCCCTCCTGTTACACACACCCATACCCACTGGCAACCGTCGGGTCAATGGGGCCTGGTCTTGTCCTTTGACTGTGTCCGTAGACTGTTTACTGAAACTAAAAAGGCCTCGGAGTTGGGAGGGGGCGTGTCCAACAGAAGTTTCTTCTGGGCGAGTGGAGGGAGACGTTGGTTTTTGGTGACGGTCCCGGCAATGTAGCAACAATCGAGAGTCCTGAACTGGTCACTGATTCACTGTGTGACCTTGAGGGACTCATAATCTGTGGACAGAGAGACTCTGGATTCGTAGAATGAAAGAGCTGCTCTAGATAATCTCTGAGCGTCTTTCCAAATGAAAAAAAAGCAGTGATTTGATTACGTAGGTCTTTGTGATTTGGGAGGGAGTGCTGCTGGATGTTGCAAACCTGCTTTGTGTACGATTGGGAGGGCTTAAGGTGGGTGAAATGGCTCTTTGGCTTAACCTTTCTGTGGGAACAGCCTAGAGGTAGCCAAGCAAGGTGTATCACAACCCTGCCTTCGGATTGTAAGTCTTGGAAAATTACGGACGTCTAACTTGATACGTGATAGGAAAGGGTTTAAGACCAAACTAACTTCAGGTGAACATGGAGAACGGTGATGAGAAGCGGTAGGCGGTTGCCAAAAGAAAACTTGGGAAATCCGTTAAAAAACTGAAGTGGAAGGAGGACGTATTTAAAGTAGAACCCAACTAAGTTGTTATGGTGATATCTGGCATTGTTCTGCTGTCCACAGTCTTTATAAAATATATGCCTCATTTGATCCTCCTAACTGGGGTAGGTGATATTGTTCCTGTATTACCACTTAAGAGACTGAGGCTCAAAGCCTAACAAAGCCTGACACAATCGGGTGCTCAGGAGGTATTTAAAGAATTCATTGCAACGAATGACTTGCCCAGGTTCACTCCAGGAGAGTTTGTCTAATTGTGTTTGAAAATTTTAGTTGTTTTATCACCAGAGTTTGGGCCTATAGGAGACAGAAGGGGGGAAAAGATGGAAAATGAAGAGAAAGCTTTAAAAGGGAATAATAAAATAGTTGAAAACATGACATGAATATGGGGAAGATGAAAATTTTGTTGAAAAATGAACTAAAACTCAGGTGAAAGAGTAAAGTATTCCTTTTCATTTGTTATTACTGTTAGCCAGTGATGCAAAGGAAGTTGGCAAACCTTGAGGAAATGTTTTTATTAGATTCCTGATAGAGAAATGGAATGTTTGGGGGAAAGGTTAAGTGAGATAAGGAAGAGGAAAGAGAAACTGAAAGAAAAGGAGATACTGAAATTTGCTCATGTTGGGGAACTGGAAGATTAAAAAAAATGCCATCTTTACAAAAAGTCATAATGAAGCTGTTATGTTGTTTGGGAAGATAAGTGAACATTTTTAGAACATTTTACAGTGAGGTTGTAAACTTCATGAATAGCTTTTCTCTTTTTTAGTCTTTGGAGGATTGTCCTCTGGATGAAGATGAGGATGCATTTCAGGGCCTGGGAGAGGAAGATGAAGAAATTGATCAATTCAATGATGACACATTTGGGTCAGGTGCAGTTGGTAAGTGACATCTTATATATCATCTTGATCTCTTGCTCTTCTCAAATGCTCTTTTTTCTAAGTGGTTTGTCTTAGTAGGAGTAACTTCAGTCACTAGTTTAGCAAGCTATTCCATTCTTGGTCTTAGAACAGTCTAGTTTTGACTGGAAACATCTACCCTTCTCCTCTGGGCCTCTTTTGCCTCACTTATAAAACCAGGTCCTGTCTGTTTATGTTTAAAACAATCCTTGAAGAAGAAAATTTTTATTTGTGGAGCATATAACCTAAGGAAAAGTAGTGAACTAGAAGGAAACTCAGATTCTGATACGTATGTTTTTAAAATTCAGTTGGTCAGTAGTATATAGTACATGGCCCTGCTATTGTTTTTTAGTAATAAAATAAAAATCCTTTTATTCCAAGATAGAAAATTTTCCTAAGTGAGAATAAGATGAAATTTTCTCATCTGTGGCTGTAGATAAATATTCTAGGAGTTGGGAAAGGTTATAGGAAGTAAAAGAGCCTAGCTATTCTTAGAGGTCACAAAGCAATGACTATTGAGATAGGAAATTAAGAGAGCTAGCTTATATGGTAAAGTTTGAGAATTAGAGATCCTAGGACAAGTTAAGTTACTAAGTTAAAACTAAACTACATTTTAAAAATGAGTAAGTAAGATTAAATGCAAATATTTTTGCTTTGTTGATATTGAAAACAGCAACAACTTTTTGCTGGGATATGTAGAATATTTGTGATTTCTTTAGAATCAAGCACTTTTGTCTATGCAACGAAATTCAAAATTAAGTAAAAAAGGGAAATTTGACAGTAGTGTGTAGTCCCAAGATGTTGAATAACAAAAAGAGGTCTTTTTAGATTTTCTTTATTTTTTTAGAGAGAGGGGAAGGGAGGGAGAAAGAGAAGTAGAGAAACATCATAATCTGTTGCCTCTTGCACACCCCCATCTGGAGACCTGGCCTGTAACCCAGACTTGTGCCCTGATCAGGAATTGAACCGGTGACTCCTCATTCTGCTGGACAACATCCAAGCCACTGGGCCATACTAGTCAGGACCAAAAAGAGGTCTTAAAGGTGATAAAATGGTTACTGGTTTTGTAGTGACCTACACAGCTTAAATATATTAAAGCTTAGACTGAGGTGAATACACTGGCAAAAATGAAGGCGTACACTATTGTCAGTCAGGGTTTGCAAAATTCTGTAGAGAGCTCAAAACTGCCACTATTAGGAGCAGGAAGGGACGTGTTTAAGGTGAAAGGATAGACTCGTTACAGAAGGGAACCAAAGACCTTTTGGATTATAGCCATAGTTGAGATGAGATTGTCCAAGGATGATGACATGATCTAAGATGCTGTTCTCTCTCCATGGAGATCGCAGGTTCTCTCCGTGGAGATCACAGGCAAAAGCAATAAAATAGAATAGAATTACAAAAGCAGGGAACTTGTGTGGAAGGTAAATTGTATTTAGAAGTTTGTTTACTAGTAACCTATAGAATACAATAGAAGCTACAAACATTGTGCACTTATTTCTAGAACTGCTTTTCTTTTAAAAAAATGTACTGAATCTTACTTTTTTTTTTAAGTTGTTACCCGAGAGTATGCTCATTGATTTGAGGGTGGGGGGAGAGAGAGACATCAAATAATGAGAGAGAAATGTCAATCAGTTGCCTCCCATATGCGCCCCCAACCAGGGATCGAACCTGCAGCCTTTTGGTGCATGAGACGACGCTCCAATCAACTGAGCCGTCCTGCCAGAGCTTGAATCTTAACATTTTTAAGCAGGTTCCTCCGTATTAAAATGAAGTTGATGGAATTGATGAATGCAGGATAGTAATATGTCCTCAGTTTTGAATCTGGGCAGAGGAGGAATAATTCATCTTGCCTTCTCATTGACTTCCAGAGCACTGCAGACAGTCTTTTTTTCTGAGTTTCTATATTCCTCACAAGATGGGGAATATATTGCCTGAAAAGGATGCTAGAGTTTACAGAGCTGTATTTTATATCATGGAAAGAAAGAAAAGTACAAATACAATGAAAAAGCCTGTGGGGTTACACAGAAAAGAACAGGTAGTGAAAAGCAAAGGCAGTGAAACAGCATGTGGTTAGACCACTTTGTACCCTGGGGCAGAAGGGGTGATTAAGAAGGGTTTCTTGGTTAACAAAGTTTATAATGAAAAAACTTGCAAATGCAAGCCCTTTCCATTGAGTATAATAATCTTGAACTGCAAAATTAAAATCTTAATTCCTCACACCATCTCTTTTTTTTCTTCATAACATCTTGATCTAAATATTATAAGTGTTTATAAAAGAGAAAATGCATTCTAGGTCTACCTGTGTCTTGCTTAATATACCACTGCAAGGAGATACACAGCTGGAGCAGAGAATTCAGGAGATAAAATGTTAGACCTTTGTCATGTTTTGGTTTGATGACTTCTAATTCAAGGGGTGAATATCTTGAATGAAACCTGTTAGTACAGTAGTTATTTTAAGTTACTGGCTACTCTGATGTCACCTTCCCTTAAGAAACTAGCCACTGTCTTCTGCATGAAAAATGGTTGCTTCATCTTAGAGCAATAAATGGGCCACAGTAATCTCAACTCATTCTCTAAAAATAAATGCTTATAGTTACACGATGCTTATTATGTGCACCATTCTAAGTGTCACATATAACCCTCACAGCAACCTTTGAAGTAGGTACTGCTGTTATCCTCATTTTAACAAATGAGGAAGGAAAAAGAAATGAGGAAGGAAAGTGACAGAAATTAAGTAACTATAAATGGAATCAGTGCAAACCACCAGTTAAAGCAGTCTTTGGGGAAGGGGAATCTTTGGGCATCTCCTTCCTCCACATGGGAGGATACCCCATTCTTTCTACTTTCATAGATAGCTACTGTAATCATTAGGGATGGAGAGTGTCTTAAAATTAAATCACATCTACTTCCAAATCATTTTGTGTTTATTTAAAAATATCTCTGAGCCCTGACCAGTGTGACTTGGTTGGAGCATGGTCCTATACACCAAAAGGTTGTTGGTTCGATCCCTGGTCATGAGACCTATGGGAGGCAACTGATCGATGGCTCTCTCACATTGATGTTTATTTCTTTTTCTCTCTTCTTCTCGAAAATCAATAAATATATTTTTAAAAAATTTTAATATCCTTGAGACAGAGTTCAGGGGAATTATTACAAGTATAAGTTTATGGGAACAATCAGGAATTCACTAACCCACATCAGGGTATAGGGTAATGAGTTGACGGAAACAGGTATCTCTTTCCCTTTATTTCTCTGGTATTCTTTTGCCTACTGTTTATCATTTTGACCAGTGTGGACTGAGATCCAGTATTGGCATATCTAAGTAGCTATATGTTTAGGTGATCTGAAAAAAATACATGGTGAAGTATTCTCTTTCTCCAACATTGCTTCAGATGATTTTTCACAAGAGCATGTAAAACCTGAAATGATGATGGTATTTATGGCATAGATTCCTTTGCTTACATGTTTGAAAAAGTAACAATTCACAACAGCCATTCTTATAGAATATGGCTATTTAACCAGTATTTTTAAAATGTAATTATTAAGGACAAATAGGCTGTTCATTTTAGGTAGGATCTGGTAAAGTTAAGTGTGGGAGCAGTGAATGAAAACAATGCAAATTAGAACTCTACTGCATTAGAATGAATCTGTTAACAAATTAACCTCTTAAATTCGGAAAATAATGTAAAAACATTCCTTTTTAGGATTATAAACTCCCATTTTTTTCTGGCATTGCTGAGTTAGTAAAATCTTTAAAAAAATTTGTCTTTTAAAAACTTTCTCAGTTTACTTTTGCTTAGCAAAGATGCCACAAATATTAATGTCACAATTGATTTTTAATTACACAATTTTTTCAAGAATTTTTTTTTGCTGATAACTGATTATTTAAATTAGTACTGTTGTTTTCATCTAAGGTTGATTTTTCCCTTTACCCCAAGTAGTACATTTATCTACTACAGTACCCAAAGACTAGACAGCGGTTCTGATCATACCAAATTATAAATTTGGAAGTCCCACTTCCCTCACTTTTTGGACCAGTGTTACATGACACATTGTTATGTAGTAAAAACAGCAAATTCCAAATGTTTATAATCTGATCCTGAAAGGGACTTGACCTACTTAAATATTTGCTTAAGATGTTAAGATAATATTCATTATAGTATTAATTATTATATTGAGAATTTGCAAATCTAAGTTTCCATCATTAGGGGAAATCTAAATTAGTTTGTCAATAAAGTAGAATCTTATAAAATATATAACATATACAAAAGAATACATGGGTGTTTTGTCGATTAGAGAGTAGTGCATGCTTAAATGAGGTGAAGGTAGAATTAAATTGAAAAGGTTATTTAGGGAATGCTTCAATGAAGAGAGAAAGGTGGCTGAATTTGAAAGCTTAGAGGAGCAAAATAGTAGAGTTTTTATAAAGGAAGCAGAATACAATGATGAGATTAAGGAGCACTGGAATGAGAGAAGTGATGGATATAAGGTCTAGTTATAGAGAAGCTGTAAAGGGTTCTGAAGACACTTTTCTGTGCCATGGCAGGACTCAAAAATAATCCTGGGTCAGCAAAAAAACAAGACAGCAACCTGGTGCCAGTGCTTCGGACTGTGTAGCAGTGTACAGAAATTGCAGACATAATTAGAATAGAAGAGGAACTGACCCGGGTACAGATCACCGTCACTTTGCCCTGGCATACTGCAGTAGCCACCCGGCAGTCCTCCTTGCTTCCAGGGTTGCTGCCCCCAATCAGCTGCCAAGTGATTCTCTCAAAAAGTCAAGCCACATCAAAACCTTCAGCGGCCCCTCATTTCAATCAGAGTGGCCCAGGAGGCCCTAAAGCAGCTCCCTTCTACTATCTACCTTTTTGGCCTCCCCCCTTGATCATTCCAGTCCAAATACAGTCCTTTCTGTTTCTCAAAGTTGTCGGTCTCATCTTTGGCCTTTGTACTGATTCTTTCACCGTGGAACACTTCTCCCAGACACCAACATGGCTATCTTCCTCTCGAATCTTTTACTCAAGTGTTACCCTCTCAATGAAACGTGCCTCTGATCATCCTGTTCAAAGTTTTCGGTTTGCTTCTCTTCCTTCATATTCCTGTAGTATTTCATCTTCTAATATAGTATATAATTTACTTACTTATTATGTTTATTGTCTATTATCTATCTCTTCCCTGCTTGAGAGAACACTAAAGGAGGGCAGAGATCCTTGTCCATTTTGTACACTCAGGTATCCCATGTGCCTACATCAGGGCTTGTCACCTAACAGATGTTCAATAAATACTGAATGAAATGAATATACTCAAAAGCTTGTAAAGATGACAGTTATAATCTAAGAGAAAGTTGTATGCTAGTTCAGTGAGTTTTAACTTTCTTTTAAATGTTTTGTCTGAAATGTCATAGAAACTCAATCAACAGTTTCAAAACTGGTCTCAGTATATAGTTTAGACACCATTGATACTAAGCTATTACTCTAAATGCTTGAATTTTATTCCTGGTATGATATTATTTGTTCTTAAAAGTAAAAATCCCATTTTATCATGTCCCTTAGTTTAAACTTCATTTCATGTGTCCAAGTGGAAATTTAACTTTCCACCTATCCTCTGGAGTTGGAATTATTTACTTGGTTAACAGAAAAATTTTATAAAACTTTTTAGTTCCAATATCAACTGGATTTCTTTTTCGTGATTTCCTTATAGATGATGATTGGCAGGAAGCACACGAGCGACTGGCTGAATTGGAAGAAAAGCTACCGGTAACAGTCCATGAACAAACAGGCAATGGAGAAAGGGATGAGATGGACTTGTTGGGTGACCATGAGGAGAACCTGGCAGAAAGGCTCAGTAAGATGGTGATTGAAAATGAGCTAGAAGATCCAGCCATCATGAGGGCAGTGCAGACCAGGCCAGTTTTGCAAGTGAGTAAGTTACTCTGGTTTGAGCACCATAGCAGACAAAGTGAAATACTGAGCTTTGCCATTTTATTTCATCTACTGTAATGAGAAAATTACATATGGTATAGAAAATTGTTAATATAATTCCTGATAACAATTGTAGAGATGAAGGTGGGGAGTGATTTACACTCTGGAACACTATAATTTCTTATTCTCAAGTAGTTGAGGCTCTTTTGGAGCCTTATTCACCAAAAGCAGGTGTGTCACATAGAGAACCCACACTACTCCAGACTCAGCGTGTTTTCCTTTTTTGTTAGCCCCAACCAGGAAGTCTCAATTCCAGCATCTGGGATGGATCTGAAGTTCTGAGGCGAATCCGAGGACCACTGCTTACCCAGGTATTAAACATCTTCTCTTTCTATAAAATTCCTAATATGTGAAATTCTCAAGTTGGGCTCCTGTTGTCATCCTTTCCTTGAAGACACATAGTTGCATATCATTTGCCAGTTTTATGTTAATTCACCCAGCACTCACAGTTGCATCACTTGATTGTACCCTGCCTCAGGCTCTGGCAGCGCTCACTTGACTGTGCTTTACTTTGAAAGGGTTGAAAGGAAGCCACTGTTCCTCACATTTGTCGGCTTACAAACTAAGTTACTTAAAAAGTTATTTCTAGGCAGACCTGTGAGGCTGGAGAACAGATCAGTGTTTGCTAGTGGTTGGGGATGATGGGAGGGCTTGACTACAAAACCACAGCACAGAGGAAGTTTTGAGGAATGATAAAACTGTTCTGTATCTTGATTGTCGTGGCAGATTTATGACTCTGCATTTATTAAAGCTCAGAGAACTGTACACCAAAGGGGGTAAATTTTACTGGATATGAAATAAACATTTTAAAATAATTTCTCAAGACATTTGTGGCCTGTGTAGAGATTAGTAAAACATTTCAAGTTAGCTAATTTTTTTTCCTACCTTAATTAGGAAATGCCTACAGTGTCTGTATTAGAATATGCCTTGCCTCAGAGGCCCCCACAGGGCCCAGAAGATGATCGGGACCTTTCTGAGCGTGCGTTACCAAGGCGATCCACTTCACCTGTCATTGGGAGTCCTCCTGTTAGAGCTGTCCCCATAGGCACCCCACCTAAGCAGATGGCTGTAACCGGCTTCAACCAGCAGGTACCTCTCATTAACAGGCACTCAGCCCAGGATATTGGGAATCTGGGCAAAATTATTTGGGAAATTGGTTATACTGGGAGGAGGGTGGAAGTTTTGGGTAGGCATTAGATTAGAAAGAGAAATAGCCAACTGGAGGAGAAGTTAGTACCAATAAGAGACACATTCCCTTATGCCCTTGGCTGGTGCTGCTCCTGTTGCTCCTGCTTTTTAAATGGGGGAGAAAAAGGGTAGTTAACCACATTTAGTGTATATTTCCTTTTTAAAGGGTTTTGCTGGCTGCCCAAAACATTAGCAGAGAGGTAACTGAAAGCTGGGGGGAGTGGGAACACACAGCATTGTCCACATCCCTTTTTACCTTTAAGATATCCCTGCTTTCCCTAGAGCCTGTGCAGTCCTGTTCCATAGACTTTCCTCCACCTGAAACGAGCAGCTGAAAAGGAAGGCCAATTTGGAAGGTATGGGGGGAGGGTGGTGTTGGTATGGCCTAGTTAGGCTCAGTATCCTATGAAATGGTGGAGTCACAATGTATCACAAAAGAGCTGAGCATGGCGGCCATATCACAGGGGTTTCAGAATAGGACTTAGTTAATCCTCCAGCTTTCTTATCATTCCTTCTCCCTCACTGCTACCAAAATATATCCTCTTGGAGAGAATTTGCAAGTTCAAATATCTGCTGGTACCTCCCTCAGATAGCATGGAAGGGTGGGGATAACTGGAGAATTAGCTAAATCTTCCTCAGTTAAAAGTGGCACTGTTGCTTGATATTTGTGAGAGGACATGACCAAAGGTTCTGTATGTGAACCCATAGCCATAGCGATTTGTTTAGAAGTAGGGCCTTGCATTGAGTTCTGTGTGTCTACCAGTACTAGAGGGGAGGGACTGTAGGTGGAGGAAAAACTGACTTCATTGAATGTAGTTGTTTATATGTTTGTCCCGATAGATTCTGTGTCCGAAGCCTGTCCATGTTCGACCCCCAATGCCACCGCGGTATCCTGCTCCCTATGGTGAGAGGATGTCTCCAAACCAGCTCTGCAATGTCCCGGTATGTCACTCTGCAACCTAATGAAAAGGTAGTCTATTTGCTGATCACTACTTGTGTAATCATTATGCAAGTATATAGACTTCTCCTAAGTTACACATTTCTTTCCCTATCTCTGTACTTGAATTTTTACATTTTCTGGTTTCCAGGTCAGGAGACATGGTTCATTATGTTCAGTTGTTTCTTATCTTAGTTCTTTCCTTACCTTTAAAAATCTAAATTCAGCATGCTCACCTGGTTTCCTGCTATCTCTGTCCTTCCTTCTACTGCTTTCTTTTTCATGTAACATTATCATAGTACTTCATAATTTCTTCATAATTTCATACTTATTCTCTTACATTTCTTCAGTGGACAACTTGACTGTATAATTTAAGAATTTTTATGTCCAAGTTCTGCTGAGTTCCCTTACTATATTGATTTACCTGTTTCATAGTGTAATTTTTTTTCCTTTTTTTTTTTTTCTTTTTTCTCCTAGAACTCTTCCCTACTGGGTCACCCTTTCCCTCCTAGTGTTCCTCCTGTTCTCAGCCCCCTACAGAGAGCGCAGCTACTTGGAGGAGCACAGGTAGGCCTTGACTAGCCTAGCCATAAAGAGCTCTCTTTCCTAAAGTTCGTTAAATGATACCCTTTTTTACTCTTTAATCAGTATCTACTGCCCCCTTTTTTTTTTTTTTTAACCTTTTCAAACAAAGTTACTAGTGGAAACAGTATTGACTTTTCTGTGTGATTAACTAAATCTAAGATTTTGTCCCTCTGTAGCTACAGCCTGGACGGATGTCTCCCAGCCAATTTGCACGGGTCCCTGGATTTGTTGGTAGTCCGCTTGCTGCCATGAATCCCAAGCTGCTGCAAGGGCGAGTTGGGCAGATGCTTCCCCCAGCACCAGGCTTCCGTGCCTTCTTTAGTGCTCCACCCCCTGCTACACCACCTCCTCCACAGCAGCACCCCCCTGGCCCAGGACCTCACCTGCAAAACTTAAGGTGTGCACAACAAATGCTACTATTTGTTAATTCATTGTTGGCCAAGTCTCCTGTTGGCGTTTAATGTTACAATATGGAAATCTCTTGATTTTTGCAGATGATAAATTTTGAGGTGTAACTGGATCCTCTGTTTGATAATATGCATGCTCTCTTATGAGTCACATTTTCCTCAAGTCACATGCTCCACTTTATATTCATTTTATGAACACACACATACACACAGTGTGTATTACTTAACAGGACTTACCATATGCTAAGGGTTCCCCAGAGAGACAGAATCAGTAGGTGCCATATATACATATACAGGGTGGGGTAAAGGTAGGTTTACAGTTGTTCATATGGAAAGTAATACAATAATTAATAATAATACAAGAATAAACTTTCACATATTCACAGCTGTAAATCTACTTTTGCCACACACTGTACATACTTACCATATATTGCTTATATCTTCTGTATGTATACCTAATTTAAATTATGTATTGAATCATATATTACATATACATATAGAACATATATACACTGGAAGGTAAGTACTCATTTTCTTTTGAGGTTTAATTCAGTTTTTAATTTTTATAGTGTAACAAGGTGCTACTAAATTTGAAATTTGAGTCTTGAGTCTGAAGTTTATATGGTGGGCTGGCAGGTGGGAGGCTCAGACAGGTCTTTATGTTTCAGTCTTGAAGCAAAATTCTTTTTTTCTCTGGGAAACCTCAGCCATTGCTCTTAAATTAAGTGAGGCCCACCCACATTATATCACTTTTTCTTAAAGTCAACCAGTTGTGAAGGCTAATCACTGCTACAGAAAACCTTTACAACAACATCCAGACTAATGTTTGACCAAACAACTGGGCACCATAGCCTAGCTAAGTTGGGATATGAAATTAATCATCACACATACTTGCAGTGTCATTCCCAAGTGGTTGTAACTAAGTACATTAAATCAATTTAGAGACTTCTGTTTAACAGTAGCAAAAAGACAAAGAATATACTGTTTTACTGTTGATTCACTCCAATTTATGGTTGCTCAGGAGTTGAGAATTGGGCTCCTCACGGGAATATAGGGCTGTCTTTTCCTTCTGAAGGGTCTCCTTAACGGACGTTAGCATTCCTTTGAATGAACTTGCATGAAGTTATCTTGTGTTGACAGCATTCTTAAAAATTTCAGATCATCAGGACAGCAGAATTGAAAACCTTGTCCCTTTGTTCTTAGACCTCAGGCCCCAATGTTTAGACCAGACACCACTCACCTTCATCCACAGCACCGTCGACTTTTGCATCAGAGACAGCAACAGAATAGAAAGTAAGTGCTCACCCTCCTCATTTGCAGTTACTTAATTCAGCTTTTCATTTTGACCGTGTCACAAGTGCTAGTAATTTCATTTACTCTTTTAGTAAATTTAATTAATAATAAGCTTATTTTACTGGTAAAGTCAGAACGTACAAGTTATCATTTTATGTTTTTGATACACAAGCTTTAAATGACAATATTTTGTTAGCTAATTTCCAAGTTACTATAATTCTGTTGATTGTAAATCAGAAATGCAGTTTAGATCTGATTTTTTCCCCCCAACATTTTATATTCACTCCTTACCAGGTTCGTACCATACTCCTAACTACCTTCTGTCTACTATCTCAGCTTTTTGGTAATCTTGAATTACAGTGGCTAGCCTTACATGTGGATCTTCTGTAAAGCCAACAGTCACTCTTTAATCTTAGCATAATTATTTAATCTTCATACAACAAATACAAATACATATTTATACATGTGGCCCCCCTAGCTGTATGCCAGGCACTGTGGTAGTAGGTTTTGGGGATTGAAAGAGCAGAACATAAGACCCTGCCTTGCTGGAGCTTTATGTTACAGTCATTCACATTTTGTTAAGAGGATAAATCTTACGGTGACTGTCCTCTATAACAAAAGACATCATACACAAATATGCATTCCCGGTAGAACCTACGTGGCTCATAGAAATGAAGAGTTTCAAGTTCACTTGTAATCAGAAAAATGCAGATTACAATTAGATAACCATTTTACATCAATGGGTAGGCAAAACTTGAAGTGTCTTGTCACTGTCACTGTTGGCAAGAATGGAGGGTACAGCCTCTTAAGAGAGAATTTGGCAATAAATAATAATAAATAAATAAGGTTGAAAATGTGAATACACCACATTGTAACAGTTTTACTTTTTAGTTCATGCCTAGGTAAGAAATGAGGAGGCCATTTAAGTAAAACTGAAAGGCACACAGAATAATAATGTATAAAATTTAAAGATGGACATACAAGTAATCAAATTATAAAAAAATTTCTTGGAGGATTCATACCAAAGTCATTCCTCCAGGAAAAAAGGGAAGCTGAAAACGGGTCCATCCAGAGAAGTACAAGAGGGCCTTCAGCCTTAAATGTAATACTTAATATTACCTTTTAAAAATCTGTGACTAATTTGACGAAACAGATTTTTTTTCATTATGTATAGGTGGAAAGTAAATGGATTAATCATAGTATTTGCTAGGCTTTTCTCTACATTCGAAGTAGTTCGTGATTTTTCAGCAAGTTTTTAAAAAATATAGACTAGGAATCAAATTACCCTGTGTTCAGATCTCTTACTCTGACCAGGTATATGGCTTTAAACAAATTACTTGACCTCTTTTGGCCATGGTTGGTTGTGTTAATTAGAGAAAATAACCCTAATATTTCATAGGGTTACTGTAGGGCCTACACAAAAATCTGTAGGTGACAGTGCATAGCATGTGGTAAGGAAGTCACATCTTAGTTTTATTTCCCTAATTGTATATTGCATAACTCCTCAAATTCTGTAAAGATTCAGCTCTTTTTTACTTCTCTCTTTAACAAAGGCAAAGAGGGGTCTTTTTTTAAAATTGGCCTGGTTTATTCCTACATAATGATAAGGCACAATTAATGTACCCACTTGAATGTGGCCCCTGTTTGTGTGTTTCAGTCAGCATCGCAATCTCAATGGTGCAGGAGACAGAGGAAGTCACCGGAGCAGTCACCAGGATCATCTCCGGAAGGATCCATATGCCAATCTCATGTTGCAGCGAGAAAAGGATTGGGTCTCTAAAATCCAGATGATGCAACTGCAGAGCACTGATCCCTACCTGGATGATTTTTATTACCAGGTGAATACTCTGTGCCAGTTTTGAGGATAACAGTTTAGTCCCTTCCTCTGGTGAAGGCACTCATTCAAACATTGGTGGAATTGATTACTGATAGAATTTTCTTTTGAGGTAGTGGTCTTCAAGTGGATAAATATGACTAAGCAGATTCTGTCCACTTTTCAAGCTGGAAAGCCTCTCACACTATTCACTGAAAGGTTTGCGTATATGCCTTTTATTTTTCACACAGGGGCTTTCAGACCAATGTTTTCAAACCCCTTTGGCATCAGTAATCTGGTTCTTACTGTTAAGAATATTGGCAGTGTAACTTTAAGGTATTTCCATTGATGGTTAGCTTTTTTGAGGGCTGGGATTTTTTTTGATAAAGGAAATTTATAGTAGTCTTAACAAAAATTAGAGATCTTACATTTACAGAGAGCAAGTTGTTAAGCCACTAGTATAATGGCCAGTATACTGTAACTAGTATAAGTTATTGGTAAAAAGCTGCCATAATCTGTGCTTCTGTTGCAACTGAAATCATCTTGTCATGTGGCAGAATTACTTTGAAAAACTGGAGAAATTGTCAGCTGCTGAAGAATTGCAAGGCGATGGCCCTAAAAAGGAGCGCACCAAGCTCATTACCCCTCAGGTGGCCAAACTGGAGCACGCTTATAAGCCAGGTAAGGCCCTTATCCCTAGACCCGTAACAAGAGAAATTTGACAGGCTGCTGCTGTGATAAAATATAAGTAATTGTATGGGCGTTTGGATAAACATGTTTAAATCTGATTTATAAAGTACCATTGTCCTTAATAAATACAGAGGTCAGCCTTTATGCAAGTGTGGAATAAATGGTTTGGTAGATGACCCCTTAGGGTTTTTTCTGGATGAGAGTTCATAACTTTTTAATATCTGTTTTAATTTCTAATATCCCTAAAATAGATATGGGAGGAACACTTCAGATTTTTATTTGATTATTATTGCAACAAAAAAATGGGAAAGGATAGATTTTGTAACAGATTGTTGTAGATAATGTACCCACTTGAAAGGAATTGTTAGTAAATTGTTAGATTATGAGTAAAGAGTAGAGAATATGAAGATCTTGGAAAGCTGCCTGCCTGCATTGCTGAGTTTTTATATGTTGGAAATGTTTTGTCCTTGCAGTGCAGTTTGAGGGCTCTTTGGGAAAGCTTACTGTCTCTAGTGTGAATAATCCCCGGAAAATGATTGATGCTGTTGTCACATCTCGGAGTGAGGATGATGTAAGTGTCAGCGGAATTGTGTGTTTAAGAAATTCTGGGTCATCAGTTCTTCTTTTGGGGCCATTCTGGAATGGAATCAGGCATAGTGGGGTTGTTTATAGTCTAACCTAACCTGGGGCTTCTGACTTGGCCTGTTACTGCGTTCTGATCGTCTTCAGATGTGCTGAGGTTCTAACACTTTGGTCTCTGAGGCAGCCAGGCAGGACCCAAGGGAGCAGGAATCTTTCCACTGGGTAACTGACTGCAACCAATAGCAGCTATTTTCTCCAGTTTTTAAATTATCGTTGTCTATGTGTTTTCTGATTTTTCTATGATATCTTCATCTTCTGCTGCATTCTGCAGTTAACCTTTGCTTATCTATGAATTCAGTTTGTGTGTAGATTGACTCAACTTGTGACCTTTGTCCACATCAGTGTTGTTTTTAGATTATTAACTTTCAAAGAATCAAGATTGCCATCTCAAAGTAGTTTCATAAATGGAACGTACATATGCACACTTAGAAACTTACTTTCAACAGACATAAACAGTCCACATTGAACAGTCCTGTCTTTTGTAGGAAACAAAAGAAAAACAGGTTCGGGACAAGAGACGAAAGACCCTTGTCATAATTGAGAAGGTAAGTGTTAGAATTTGTTGCTCTGGTTAGTTTCAGTTAAAGAACTGTCAGATGTACGTGTACATAAGAACTGGGAAGATAAGCTGTCGGCGTTCCATAATTTTGATTAATGGATATATTCTTGTTAAGTGCCTGTTGGGTACCAAGCACACTAGAAAGGAATGTAGTTACCTCACCTGTGGCCTCACGGAAAGAGCACTGCTCTTACGGTCAGAAGCGCTGGGTTTTTGTCCAGATGTGTTCAGGGCACGGCTGAGTGCTACGGGGAGGTCACCTTTGTAAGAAAACTGGAATAAAAACAACATTGTTCCATCTTAATTTTAATCAGTTCTGTCAGTTCAAATATGTTTATCAGATACTCCCTGGGTGCGAGGCACAGGGTGGATGCTAAGGCAGACAAGGTATTATACCAGCAGTTACTTTGCAAAGTGTAAATACCATGGTACAAGGTCATAGAGCATAGTGGTTAAGAGCACAGACTCTAGAAACAGGCTGCAAATCATGCCTTTTTCACATTTGAATCTGTGACCTGAGGCAAGTTATTTAACCTTTCTGCGCTGTCCTCAGTTTCTTTATCTGTAAAAATGGAGATGATAGTCTGTTTCTCACTGGGCTGTAGTAAGTATTCAGTGAATGAGTGCACACATGCAAAGTTCTTAGAACAGTGCCTGGCACCCAATAGTAAAATGATTATCATTTTTATTAATATAAGACGTAACTTGGAGCAGTGCTAAAGACACTTACATTGCAGTGCTGTTGGTGCTGCTGGAAATTTTAGAAAGTATGTAATCATTTCGGTATCATTACATTCTGAGTTAGAGGTCAAGGAGGGATGAAGAACGGTTTTTGAAGAATTTTTGAAAGTTATCTCACTGTGTTTTTCTGGATTTAAAAGAGCACCTTTGTCCTCTCAACTTTACTACAGTGGGTTTTTATTCCTAGGCCTTTGTCAGGTGGTCCTAAACTGTGAGGTGGTGTATCTAACATTCTGATCCTGACTTAGACCTACAGTTTACTCCTTGATGTGGAGGACTATGAACGGCGTTACCTCCTAAGTCTGGAAGAAGAGCGACCTGCCCTGACGGAAGAAAGAAAGCACAAAATTTGTAGCATGTATGACAACTTAAGGGGAAAATTACCTGGACAAGAGAGGTAATAATTGTGCATTTTGAGGAAAACATGAGATTAGCTGGACTCCTTACTCAGCTAAACTGAACTTTATACCTTTCTATCTTTTAGATTTTCCTCCCAACCATCTCAGTAAGCTCCAAGTCTGTCCTTTTGGCCTAACTCAGATGCCACTTTAAGTAGAACATTTCATAATCCTTCCCACCCAGGAAAATATTCTCTATAGTATCTACTAGGGACTGCTGGGTCCTGGAGAGATGGTGGGGAATATTATTTAGTTTCTGATTTTGAGCTTACAAATTGTACCTGGTTTATGCTTACTAGCATGTTTAATCCTGTAATCTCTCTTGGGTTTTTTTGTTTGCTTATTCTAGTACAGTTGTCACAGTTTCCCCTCCCCCTTTGCTCCCCTTCACAGCCCCCCACCCTTCTAGCCCACAGTTGATCCTCTCTCTGTTGTCCATGTCCATGTGTTATTCATACATTTTCTTTGACTAGTTCCTTCCCCTTCCTTCTACCATTCCCCCCCTTCCTCCTCCCCTCCTATAGCTATCAGTCTTTTCCATGTTTCCACATCCTTCATTCTGTTTTTCTTGTTAGTTTACTTTGTTCTTTAGATTCTAGTTGTAAGTGAGGTCATATGGTATTTGTCTTTTGCCAACTGGCTTATTTCACTTAGCATAATAGTCTCCAGTTCTATCCATTGCTATCGCAAAAGGTAGGAGTTCGTTCTTTCTTTCTCTCTGTTGTGTAGTGTACTGTTATGTAAATGTACTGTAGTTTTGATCCACTCATCTACTGATGGGCACTTGGGCTGTTTCCAACACTTGGCTATTGTAAATAGTGCTGCTGTGAACACAGGGGTGCATAAGTTCTTTTGAATTGGTGTTTCAGGATTCTTAGGGTATACTCCCAGCAGTGGAATCACTGGGTCATAAAGCAGTTCCATTTTTAATTTTTTGAGGAAATTCCACAGTCTTCCACAGTGGCTATGCCAGTCTGCCTTCCCACCACCAGTGCACTAGGGTTCCCATTTCTCCACAACCTCGCCAGGACTTGTTGTTTGTTGCTTTGTTTATGATGGCCATTCTGACTGGTGTGAGGTGATATCTTATTGTGGTTTTAATTTTCATCTCTTTTGGTTAGTGATGCTGAGCATCCTTTCATATGTCTCTGGGCCCTCTGTATGTCTTCCTTGGAAAAGTGTCTGTTCAGGCCCTTTGCGCACTTTTTTAATTGGGTTGTTTGTATTCCTGGTGTATGAATTCTTTACATATTTTGGAGATTAAACCATATTCTGATGTGTCATTGGCAAATATGTTTTCCCATGCAATCGGTTCCCTTTTCATTTTGATGGTGGTTTCTTTAGCTGCACAGAAATTTTTAATTTGATGTAGTCCCATTTGTTTATTTTTTTCCTTTATTTCCCTTGCCCTAGGAGATATATCATCAAAAATATTGCTATGTGGGATGTCTAAAATTTTACTGGCTATGTTTTCCACTGTGACTTTAATGGTATCACGACTTATATTTAAGTCCTTTATCCATTTTGAGTTTATTCTGGTGTATGGTGTGAGTTGGTGGTCTAGTTTTGTTTTTTGGGGTTTTTTTTTTTTTTTTTTTGCAAATACCAGTTCAGTTGTCCCAACACCATTTATTGAAGAAAGTGTTTTTACTCCATTGTATGCTTGCGCCCCTTTGTCAAATATTAATTGACCGTAAAGACATGGGTTTATTTCTGGGCCCTCTGTTCTGTTGCCTTGATCTGTGTGTCTGTTCTTATGCCAGTACCAGACTGTCTTGATTACAGTGGCCTTGTAGTATAGTTTGATAACAGGTATTATGATCCCTCCAACTTTGCTCTTCTCTCTCAGGATTGCTGAGGCTATTTGGGGTCTTTTTGGGTTCCATATAAATTTTTAGAATATTTTTTCTAGACCTTTTAAGTATGCCATTGGTATTTTAATAGGAATTGTGTTAAATTTATAGATTGTTTTGCATAGTATGGACATTTTAATGATGTTAATTCTTCCAATCCATGAACACAGTATATGCTTCCATTTCTTTGTAAACAGGATTTTTTTTTTTCTCTGAGTTTCTCTTTCTGATGATTCATTGTTGGTGTATAAGAATGCCATCAATTGCTGAATATTGACTTTGTATTTTGCTACTTTGCTGAATTCACTTATTAGGTAGAGTGATTTTTTGGTGGAAATTACAGGGTTTTCTGTGTACACTATCATGTTGTCTACAAATAATGACAGTTTTACTTCCTCCTTTCAAATCAACCCTGTAATCTTTATTTTCTTTTCCACTAAGCTGAAAAGTATAAACATTTAAAACTTTCTTGGGTTTTCCATAGAATATTCACACACTATGGAGTCAGTCTTTCAATGGAGACTAAGCTCCTTAATTTTTTTCTTTTTTTCCCTGTATCTCTGTTATCTCTTTCCCATCCAGAATCTGGAACAGACTCTTGCCAATGGTAAATGTTTTATTAATCCCAAATATTTATTTGATGAATGCAAGAGGACTGTCTAAGGCAGGACATGAACAAAAGAGAACATAAGAATAAGCACCTTATGCCCTGGCTGGTGTGGCTTAATGGATTGAGTGCCAGCCTTTGAACCAAAGGGTCACCTGTTTGATACCCCATCAGGGTACATGCCTCGGTTGTGGGCCAGGTCCCCTGTAGGCGGGTGCTGAAGAGGCAACCACATGTTAGTGTTTCTTTCCCTCTCTTACTCCCTCCATTCCCCTCTCTAAAAGTAAATAAATAAAATGTTTAAAAAAAAAAAAAAAGGATAAGGACCTTTCCTGGATATAGGCTGACAGGGAACTGGTTGAATAAATGTGAGTTTATCCCACAGATTGGAGTGTTACGCAGCCACTGAAACACATGTAGTTGGAGTATATTTATTAATGTGGAAAAGTGTTCATAAGAAGTTGTTGGGAAAAGTGAAGCAACAAAGCCATATGAATTCTATGGACCCATATTTTTATGAAAGATTAAATACATATAATACACAGAAAAATTTTCCTGAAAATGTTAACACTCTCAGGCTATGAATATTTTTTTAATTCTTTTTGCTTATCTATTTTTCAGACTTTGCTGTATTAGCTATGATATTTGCATAGTTAGTTAAAAGTTAATACTTTGGCCAAGTATTTCTAACGTACAGTTTTTGAAACGATGTTCTGTATTTGGGTAACTTGAAAAATTACTTACTATTATTTGGTTGAGGTTTGGAGAAGTATTTCTCACTATTTTGTAGTACAGATAATTGTAGAGTGAAAATGAATGCACTATTTTCATTTAGTAACATGTAAGAGGGGAAAAAAGGATTTTTTTATATTGTTCTTGCTGACCTATGTTAACATTCTTTTTCGCCTGCAGGCCAAGTGATGACCACTTTGTACAGATCATGTGTATCCGAAAAGGGAAGAGAATGGTTGCCCGCATTCTTCCTTTCCTCCCCACAGAGCAAGCAGCTGACATTCTTATGACGACAGCCAGGAACCTCCCTTTCCTTATCAAGAAGGATGCACAAGACGAGGTGATCACATTGGCGGGGGTGGGGGGGCATCTTCTCTCTGAGTCTTCATAGTTAATCATGTTTCTAGGACCCAAATTTCTTTTTCTCTCCATTATTTTTCTATTGTTTTGTCAAATCTTTGGCAGTATGACTTGATTATTTAAAGCAAAACTTTATTCTAGGCCTATATTTTTAATCCCATGTTTTGTCCAGTAGTCTGTGTTCCTAAATATGAAGAAAGCAGTAATTCTGTCTTACTTAACATAGTTGTAAAGCTATTGTCTGTATCTGAATTACTTGGAAAGCCAATAATTTAGCTCTATCCCAAATATACCGAATCAGAATTTACAGAGGAAAGATCAGGGCTTCTGTATCTATAACAAGGTCCCCAGCTGAATACGATGCTGACTAGAGTTTGCAAACTTAGAGGTATTGGTTACTTTGCTGGATATAAAGTATCCACTCATTGGGCTGTTGCTACTAGCTTAACTCACCTGTAAACTGAATTTGAATGGCATCCTGCCCACAGGTATCAGGCTGGTGTTTTCAAGTAATTTTTATCATGATCTAAACTAGATTGGAAATTGAAACATGGATTATCAAGTTACAAGTTAACTGACTCTTGGTAAGAATTGTTCTCTGCTTATTCCTGCCCTTACACTTCAAAGATTAGCAAAATTTAGAACAGTGTTAGAAGTTGAGAGCAAAAAATTGATTTAGGTTGCACAAAGGACTAGTATTATTAATTGCGAGATTCAGAAAAATAGAATTTATGAGAGTGAACCTGTTAGACTGCAAGTTGAGCAATAACTGTTTGTTAATAGTCTTCAGGAAACATGATCTCAAGATATTTTATCCGTGGTGTAACATGAAAGTTGAAAATTATTTCTTCAGAAATGAGTTGAAAAAATACCTTCTTGAAATTTTAGCATGTACCGAAGAAACGAATACAAAGTTTAGGTCTCATCATTGGAAAAAGTGAAGTGAGATAAGACAAGTACATTTCTTCCTTTTTTTTTTTTTTTTTTTTTGGTGAATGATTTACTTTTTTTATGTTTTTTTAAAAATTGTTGTTCAGCTACAGTTGTCCCCATTTTCCACCTCCTGATGTTACCCCCTGCCCCATCCCACCCCCTGCCAAAGACAATCAGTCCCCTTCCCATTGTCCTTGTCCATGAGTCCTTTGTACGTGTTTCCCTTCTTTCCCCTGTTATTCCCCTCCCCCCTCCCCTCTGGGCACTGTCAGTTTGTTCTTTATTTCCAGGCCTCTGGTTCTTTTTTCTTGTTTGTTTTGTTGATTAGGTTCCACTTACAGGGGAGATGATGGGGTATTTGTCTTTCACTGCCTGGCTTATTTCACTTAGCATAATACTCTCTGTGTCCATCCTTGCTAAGGCTTCAAGAATGAAAAATGGATCGGAGGAAATGGGTTGAAGGTTAAGGACTTGAGGTTTATCCTAGAAAATAGAAGACAAAACTAGAAGCAACAGCTACCTTACAGTGTATAAGTTGTAGGCAAGGAGACCGGCAAGCACTCACTATAATCTCAGAGGAACTTACCGATAGAAACAAATTCAGGAGAGCTTTATTCATTCAGCAAATATTTACTGATCACTTCTAAGTACCAGGCACTGTGTTTTGGTTCTAGAAATACAGCGTCTAGTTCTAGGTGCTGGGAGCTAGGACTCCAAAGATGCCTGCCTTAGTGGAGCTTACATGATAGTGAGGAAAACTTGGTTAAATACTGTAATCTGCCATGTATAATGTGCACTTTTTGCCCTAATTTTTGAGGGAAAAAATAAGGGTGTGCATTATACATGTGTATAATGATGGGTGTAATTTGTGTATAATGCGCACAAAATCGTGGGTGCACTTCATACACAGGAGCAGCATTATATGCAGCAAAATACAGTGGAGAGGCTGAGTTCTACCTTTATTCATTAATGCATAGTAAATCACATCTCTTCATACCATTTCCTTGAAGTAATAGCTAATTCCAGGGCTGAGGCTTATAAAATGTACAAGATAATCTTGGAATATCTTACACCAGAAAGCATGGAAGCTAAAAGATGGTTCTGGTAAAAGATGCACAAACCAACTTAAAGGGGCACTTAATGGTTAAAGGTGGAATGATTTTTTGGACCTTAAAGAAAAAGTACAGCAGCAGATTTAGATACATTTCATGAGCTTATAATGATATCCAAAAATATGTTCATCATCCTCAGAGATTGCTAGCCCATCATTATCTGAAAACTGATAAGAAAAAGAACCAAGCATTCATTCTGCCTTTCCATTACAACCAAATATCATGGTGACCAGAGAGTTGATAATATAAAGTGCCTTATGGAAGAATTTCAGCTGCTAAATGCAAAAATATAAGATTAGGAAATCATTTTACAGCCCCCAATAGAAAAAGCAGTCAATCTAGACAGCAGTCGTTATTGTTAAAAGCATTAAGTGCAAGGTGGATGGGGAATATTACAGGGGTTTGGAGCGAGCTAACAGCATCTGAACCCACTGATCACCATTAACACCACTAAGAAGGGCACCGACCTACGCTGTGTGCATCTGGACGTGATGCAGTAGAAAGCACACCAGCTCTGCTACCCTTCCGCCAGCCCCCACTGAACTTGAGTCTAATCAGACCTCTAATTCTAACTCTCAGTTTTTATATAGGGGGTGGTATAGGAATCTGTTAAATGACATCACTGAAGTGCAGTTAGATCCAAACTGGGACAGATGACCCAGTTTCTTCAACAAATAAATAATCTGGGAAAAGAAGATGACCAGTGACAAAGGACCTGTTAACAGATTTTTAAAACCTCACCAACCAAGTGCCAGTCAGTGTGTGGATCTTATTTAAACTGTGATTAGAAGAAAGCAGCTGCTAAAAGACATTTTTTAGACATTTGGGAAAATTTGAATTTGGAGTAGATATTAGATAATATTGAGGAATTAAATTTTGATAGGTGCAATAATATCGTGAGATATTTTGTCGGAGATACAAACTGAAGTATTTACAGATGAAATATTACACAGGTGGAACAGATTTTATAAGATTGGCAAGAACGTTGATTTAATTGTTGAAGTTGGATGATGAGTACATGGACTTCATTATACTATTTATACTTTCGTGTATATTCAGAAACGCTTTAATTTTTAAAGCTTTGTTTATTTAGAGTAGTAGGTCACAAAAAGTAGTCTACTCTCCATCCTTGGCTGCTATTTAAAGAAAAACCAACCATCATTTTTTTATACCATAGGCGTTGAGTATTGGAAGCAGTTTTGATTTATTTTCTTGTAACCTAGTTTGGTAGTTCTGTATTTTAACTCTTCAGTCTGGGCCTTATGGCCAGAAGGAATTAGTGGCTAGCAGGCTAGAATCTGCATCCACCTTGGATTCTGTCTACCTACTAGCTTTGTAATACTGAACACTGAATTTCTGACCACTTAGCTTCTCTAATCTGTATAATTTGTGAATTGTTTCTCCATTTCCTCATTGAGACTTTATAAAGATAAACCAAGATAGAATTAAGTACAAACACTACTTCTCAGTAATCCTGTAGCACTCAGAATTTACCTATCTTAGAGTATTTCTCAAAATATATTGAAATTGCCTATTTACTCACCTCGCCCCCCTGTATTTTAGATTCCTGAGGGTCTGCCTCTCCTTCTAACTTTTGTTTTTAGCCTGAGTGCCTGGTACATTGTAGGCATTTAAATAATTTGTGGTATGAATTAAAATGCTGATGTTTTATCATGAAATCTTGTGTATTTGAGAAGTGATTTTATATCCTTGGTTCACACAAGTCATGATGTTTCCTATGCAAATTGAGTTGAAAAAGTACTCAGTGGATAACCTTAGAATCCATTGTTAAGACTCAAGTAGTATCTGCTAGATTTGTCAGCCCTTTTTTGTTTTAAGTCTCTCCCCGGATAGTTGAGTGTGCGGCTGAGCATCCTTCCTTCCATGCCGTCTGATGGAGGGTGACTGAAGCAACAGTTATCAGTGTCTGATGCTTTTACTTATTTTCCGTAGGTGCTGCCGTGCTTATTGAGTCCCTTCTCTCTCCTCCTCTATCATCTTCCGTCAGTGACTGTCACCAGCCTTCTGCAACAGCTAATGAACCTACCTCAGAGTGCAGCTGCACCAGCACCCTCTAATCCTCACCTCACAGCTGTTCTCCAGAACAAGGTGGGCTTGCCTTTTTTGTTCTTGAACTTTACAAGGCTTCTAAATTAACATTGTAGATAGCAATAATGGCTGCTGTGGCTATGGCAACTTGTCAAAAAAGTTTCTTTCAGTCAGGAGTTAAGCTCCTAATAACAGAGGCTAGAAATAACAGTGGTTTCAACAAAATAGAATTTTATGTATCTCATGTCAGTAAATCTGGTATGATGGCTCCACAGCGTCACCAGGGATGCGGGCAGTTTGCCTTCTCTGCCTTCCTTAGCAGTGGCTGCCATACTCTGGACCTCTCAGGGTCCATGATCGTTGTAGAATTGAAGGCGCCACTTTGCATCAGGAGAAGAGGTGCGCGTGGAGGGCTAAACCATGTGGATTAGCTGTTGTCTTCCTTATTTGGACCTTTTCCAGGAGTTTTAACCAATAAGTACTTAATCTCAATGGCCAGTCTTAGTCGCATGCCACACCTAACTGCAGGGAAGCCTGGAAGACATATTTTGGTTCACACCATTGTCATCACAAATGAAATCAGAGTTCTAATAGGGGGAGGAAAGCATATTGGGTGGGTAAGCAGCAGTCTCTGTTATAAGACTATAAAGAGAACATCCCATTTCATTATTTCATTTACAACAAGCTAAAGATCCAGAGACTCACGAGGGAAGCATAATATACACGAAAGATCATGAGCTTTTAGATAGAGCAAGTTTTCATTCTTTGCTGGCCACTTTCTAGGTTTGTGACCCCAAACAGGTTATTTCACTTTGCTCAGCCAGCTTCCTGATCTGTGAAGTGGAGGTGATGATGTCTACCTCAGCATTTTCCTGTTACTTAAATGAGGGAACAGCTATGGACAGTTCCTGTGATGCCCAGACATAGATGGCACTCACAAAGGGCCAGCCGTTACAGTAGAGCGGAAAAGTAGGGAGAGAGGTGGCAGTGCCTCGGGGGAGTTAAGGTGTGGGTTCTGGAGTGATCAGTTACGTGCCCTCCATGCACTTTGGTTTCCTGGTACTAATGTTGATAAAGGCGTAGAAAATTGTGAGGGCAGATGAAATTATGTAGCCCCGTGTTGTTTTTGGACATGAAGGGAAGTTTTGTGGAAAGGCAGGGTTATCCTCTATGAGGGGGACTCAGAAAGGTGAGGTGTAGTCCCCAAGTATCCCACCTTCTCTTTATGATCCATTGTAACTGTGCTTCAGACAGTTACCCAGCACTTCTGGTCCTTATTTGTGTTTTCATCCTATGCCCCTTTAGACAGTATGTTTCTTGCTTTTACTACCCCCTAAATTAAATATATCAGTCTCTAAAGCATGTTGCTCAATTTTAGTAGTCCTAGATATGGCAAATATGTCTGTTCATCTTTTCCCCTTATTTTTTAGACCCTTGTTAGCGTCATATCTCAGCCTTTGTAGTTCCAGATAGGTGTGTCCTTTTTCTAAGGAAATCTCTGTGTATTTTGATCATTCCAGTTACTTTTTTTCTTTGTACATTTTCCCATGGGTTTTAGCCCCTTTTTCTCCTTCATTCAGAATATCTTACTCTAGTGTTTTATATTTTTTCCATGAAATTTAACATTCTATATCAAAGTTTTTCTTCATTTAACTTTCCTTTTTTAAATCATTTCTGTTCTTGTAAGTAGGAGAAAAGCTACATCCTACATTATCCACAGCAAGGAATAATTACGGCTTTATCGCAGGGTGGGGTAGCGGGGAGCAGAGAGAACCATTGGACACTGGGACTTGCATTCTCATTGATTATGCTTTTTGCTCCTGTGCAAGTAGAAAGGCACAGCATCTCTGCACAGGGCTGTCTGAACTTTGCCCAGTTTCATAGAAAAGCACAGCAGTGGGGTCACTTTGATTTATGGCCATTTCCCCTGAGTGGTGGGGGGAGGAGAAAATGCAGTGCTAGACTGGCTTCCCTCTCTCTCTCCCCTTGTAGTTTGGCCTGTCGCTGCTCCTTGTCGTCCTGAGCCGTGGGGAAGACCTGCAGAGTTCAGACCCTGCTACAGAATCGACAGAAAACAACCAGTGGTCAGTCTGGGCTGCATTCCTTCTTTTAAGTTCTTTTAGGCAATCATTTCGTTCTTTTTGGTAATCTTTTCATTCTTTTTCTTACATTGTTGTTATTGATTTTCCCTGTCAGGACGGAGGTGATGTTCATGGCAACCCGAGAACTTCTGCGGATTCCCCAAGCAGCCCTGGCCAAGCCAATCTCTATCCCCACAAACCTCGTATCCCTCTTTTCTCGCTATGTTGACCGACAGAAACTGAACTTGCTGGAGACAAAACTGCAGTAAGTTGGCAGAGGAGAGTTCCACATTTCACTAACAGTGGCACTTTAGAAGTTAGAAGGAGGAGGTCGGGGCTTGGGGGCAGGTGGCATAAATCTGAATTTGGTGGAAGAGGTTAAAGACTTTGGTCAAACAGATGAGTACCTACTAGATAGAAAACACTGTACTGGGTGCAGCAGCACCCTCATAGTTGACTGAATGCTAAGGGCAGAGAGACCTTAGGTGTTTTGTTAAGATAATTTTTACAAGGATGTAATTTTAATGCAAAACATTGCCTTCTGTTTTAACTCATTTATATGAACAAGTTTCCTTTCTTTCTTTACACCTGTAGGCTAGTTCAGGGGATACGGTAAAAGATCTGCAAATGTGTCCTGTACCTCCTTTTGGCTGTCACCTGCACTGCTGCCATCACCAATGGAGTGTTTGTAATGAGGGAGGGGAGGTAGCTTATTCCCCAGAGCATCTTGTGGGACCGATTCCTGTTCACAGGGGCTATTTCTGAATGCCAGATGTTTCCCCACTGCTCTGTGACATTCGGCTGGGTGATACTTCTGCTGGTTTCTTCTTACCTTCTCTGTTACAATTCTGCATGCCCTACTTTTACTCAATTCTTCTCAATTTTGCATTTTCTTTGCCCTAGAGACACAAATATAATCGCTCCCTTTATCCCACCACCACTACTCCAGTTCAGAGTAGACTGTAGCCTGCCAAAGGGTCCCATCCCGCATCCTGTTCAAGTCTTTTTCATTGCCCCATATTAATAGGAGAGCCAATTAAGTAGAAATTAATATATATATATGCTTGCACACACAAGTTTATGTGGTCTCCAGAGGATCCTTAAAGAATGAGTTTAGACAGAAATATTTAGTTGACACATCCCTCCTCTAAACACAAACCAGCTAATGTATTTTTTATCTGTTTCTAGTCCATCTTGTAATTAATTTGGTGGGTTCTCCTTGTTTTAATATAAACACAGGGTATGCAGCATATTTAATAAAATCAGAACTCTTAATTGGCTGATGCCCAGCTCTAGACTGAGAAGTCCCTTTTCTCCTCCCCCCTGAATTTCCTTTGTTTCTGTCCACCTCAATGGAAACAGCACACGGTTAAGCCTTTTTACTGCTACAGCTACAGTGTACTTGAGTCTGTCCCCTCAAGTGCGTGGAAGATTGCCCAAGGTGATTCTACCGTAGAGCCTGCTTCCACAAGGTAGCTTTTGTCTTCCTGAGACGACTTCAGTAAGCCATGCTTTCACTTCTTTCGCCCACTTTTATTCCGTGTCATGGATAGAGACTCCCCAGTGTAACCATGAAAGCTAAGTCAGGCTTGCTTTGCTCTTCATTCTCCTCCACATCGTGGGCGGAACTGCTGTCCTTGCAGTTTCATCACCCAAGTTCCGTCCCAGGCACCCAGGGGCCTCGATATGAATCCTAGCAGCGACAGCCTGCCATGACTCTCTTCACTTGTCCCTTTCCCAATCAGCAGTCAGCCAGGATAAGGGGCTTTGATCCCTAGTGATTACAGCCACTTGACTGTCCTGATACACTGTTTGCTGTTCTCACCTTTTCGAATGTAGTGGGGGAGACAGGTTATGATGTTTAAAGAGAATAAACATTTTGCACATACATGTATCGTACAACAGTAAAATCCTCCATTATAACCAGCTGTCCTTGTCTCCATTGCCATTTCTTCTCACTCTGTAGCCCTAGGCTCCACCAGCTGTTCCGCCGTGACATCACCTGGCTTCCCTCTGACATTATCAACTGACTTTTCACTAGGCGCCTTTCCTGCCTTTCCACTTCACAACTGATCAAGTGAATACTTGATTATTATTTCTTCCTCTCTGTGCTTTATCTTTTCTGTTTGGTTCTAATTAATAAAAATTAAAGTTTCTAAATTTACATTTTTATAGGTATTGTAAATAAAAACAAATTGTATACTTGAAAAAGTGTGTGCCTTCATTTCTCCTTTCTTGGTTTTTAATGTGTTTCTAGCATATTTAGGTAGACTGGCAAACCTTAATGTTGAAGATTGGTAAGGATATTACCTAATGTTTTTACCCTTTTAATTTTGTTGTAAGGAAGACAGATAAACGTCTTATGTTTACGTCGTAATGTTCCTTTAAAAACCTAGAGTGCTTTCATTCCCCCCCCCCCATTTTAACTACAAAACAGAATTATGGATTATAATACATAGACTATAGGTAATCTTATTTATCCCATCTATCTATAGGCATATGTAACTTCTAAGAGATTCATTATAGCCCACTTTGGCCCTCAGCTACCCTCACAGTTACCTCTGAATTGCATCTCACAATTCATGTCCTCAAAGGAGATGGGGGAAGTTCGCTAATTCCTTATAGGAAATTTACATTTCAGGCATGGGTATCATTTTTACTCTAAAATGCTCAAGATAAAAGCTTCAGCTCTCTCTCCCCTTTCTCTGCCATCATGCTGTGTGCAGTTGAGTCTTTTACTCACCATGTCTTCTCACAAGACTTACAGGATCAGGTGATTTCTAACAATGAAACAAAAGCAGGACCACCCTGTTCCCCAAGTGGATTTGGATGAAAACTGATGATAAAATCAGGTACAGCTCCAAGAGGAGACACAGAGTAGAACCAAGGTGGATCTTTGAGGAGCCACACACGAGGTGGCGCATGTGTGTGTGCTATATCACACAGTAGCCTCTCAACCACATCAAGTTGGAAATATCACTGCACTCTGGACAGCTGGACTAATCATTTACAGAAAAAAAATCATTTTTCTCTTTGTTTCTATGTTTCTGCCCTAGTTGACTGGTTCAGCAATAAACATGTGAGACCTTCAGTTTGGAGGAAAAAAAGCAAACAAATGATAAAGAGGGAAGGAGATTATTTAATATTACTGGCTTTCTACTTACACGAATCTTATTTTCCCCCTGATAAGCGGACAGGTTTCTTGAGGTTAAACAGGTGGCCCAAGGTGCCACAGCTGAGCCACAGAGCAGGGGACTCAACACAGGATGTTTTTACCACTGGAGGAGTAAAACTGGTAGATTCATTCTCATCCTTTCATGAAAGAACACAAAGTCTCATTAGGTAGCTCTGCTTGGTTAGGGAGGAAGTGGCCCCGGGGTGCCCATGCATTCCAAGAAGTGTGGGTTCAGAGTGTAAGACGAGAGGAACTTAAAGACTGGTCCACAAGACGGGGGGCCAAAAGAGAGGGCAACGGCTTGCCTCAGGTCCCATGGCTGGAGCTCTGGTTTGTATGCTCTGCTCCTCTGGATTAATTCTCCACCACAGCCTGAGAAATACTGGGTAAGCCCAGAAGATGTTGGTGTTACGTTTCTTGAGAGAGAAAGCCTAGGTTTAAGAAGGATGTGCTTGCTGCTGCTTTTATGAGTAAAACAGGAGATTATGATAACTACCAACTGATTGTGAATCATGTGTATTCAAGATACTGTTTGCCCTAGGTGCTTAGAAAGTCATATTTAAGACTCCAAGTAACCAATGAGAGCAACGTTAACTTCTGTGCTAATGTATGTCAAAAAATAATCCGGTGGTACACTAAATTTATGACTGTGTCACAGTTAATGGGCATCGATGTATGTCATCTTATTTAAGAATAGAAGACCCTGGTAAGTAATAGGTAACAGATTTGTGGATAGTAACTTTTCACAAATGAAAATACAAGTAATACTATTAATAGAAGTTCACCCCCAGTAGTAATCATTTTATTTACCAAGTTAACAACATATTTAGAAATAATGCTTGTGAGAATTTGGAACTGCTACTCACATGGATGGGGTACATGTCTGCATTTCTGGGAAGTGCCTCGGCATTGTGAAGAGCTTCAAAAGTATTCATAACCTTTGACTAGTTCGTTTGGCATCAGGAATCTAAGCAAAGGTTCCAAAGTAATGATACTTACCACAAGATTATTAATAGAAATAACCTAAATGTCCAAGATCACAAAAATGGTTAAGTAAATGATAAGCCATATGTCACGGACAATTAGGTGAAATATTTAATCATGGAAGGTGTTTATGATATAATATGGGGGAAACCATGAAGTGTACATGCTTTGAATCATTCTTTTTAAGGAAATGCATGTATGGGGGAAGACAGGTTATGATGTTTAAAGAGAATAAACATCCTGTACATACATGTACAACAGTAAAAAGAATTTTTGCTTTTCATCATTTTTCACATTTCCTATAGAGAAAATGTATTGCTTATATTCTTAAAAGAAATGCTGTTTTTGAAGAATTTAGTTACATAGAAAAAATACTAAGAATGTAATGTTAAGCATAAAATAGGTTCTCTGTATGTATTTGGTTTAATCTGTGTGAAGGGGAAAAAATGGGAAGAATGCAATCAAGAGTGGCCAAATAGCAGTGGTTGCCTTAAAGGGCAGGGGTCATGGGGAGTTTGTGTGTGGATGACTGTTCCTGCTTTTCCATATTGTTTTAGCAGGGCAAAAGTCAAAAGTCTGATCTAGTTGTCCTTGCCTTCGGGGTCAAAGCATTTGACTTTGTAACAGAAGAATGTGCTAGGGGTCTGAAGAAGTCATATGAAAGCAAGGCAATGACCTTGAGAGATGGTGTTCCATTATTGGACACATAAGACGATTTATTAGTTGAAAGATCAAAGAATCGCTTTGATAAGTCCAAGCTATATCTCCCAGCAGGCTTCCATATTTACACTAAATTGCATTTTTTCCAAACTGTTGAATCAAGATGGATCCCAGCTCCATCTGCAAAAGATCTGCTTTGGCCTAAGTGTCCGCCAGCTAGCTTTGACTCACGTTCCCTGTCCATCTTTAGGAAGGCCAAGGTGTGACTGAAGTTGACAGACCCTTGGACACCATCTACCATCTACTGGAAGCCAAAGAAATCCATTGTGGGGGAAAAAGTGGGGAAGTTGAAGCCTCCTTATACTTCTCTTCTTTGTCCAACTGTTTAAATATATTAATATTGTGATCCTTAAGAAATTAGTATGTGGATTTTTAGGAAACAGGTTTTTAATCTGAGGAATCAGTATGTTAAAAATCACTTAATACCATCGTTTTGCCCTTTTTCCTCCTCGAAGCAGATTGTGAGTAGATGGCATGTTTCATAACAGCCTCTGGTTTGCTTTTCATTATTGCACATAAGGCTGTTCCAAGGAGCTTTTCGTTTCCTCTTCAGTGTGACTCTCCAAGCTCCCCAACTTAGCCAAGTTCATTCTTCAAGTCAGTATTAACCTAAATCAGACCCGAAACCTAGGAAACATCTACAAGAGAGCTAGGTAGTCAGTGGTGTGTGTATTTTGCCAGTTGTGAATAGAGTACCTTAAATTGCTTAGATTTTGTAGCAATCTAGAGAACCAGAGGGAAATCTTCAGGTAACTTGCAAAGGGAAAGTTATCTCAAGTTCCACCCCCAGGAAAAGCACTGCTAACAGTTTAGCATATTGTTCTCCAAGTGATTTCTGTATGTATATGCATATGTAAAAGATATTTTTACTTTCTCATCCTAATACAATGTGGACATTTTTGTATGTCACTATATAGAGAGCTACTGTTTTTTAAAAATGTTTGTATAGTGTTCCACCGTGTGCCATTGTGCCATAATTTAACTTCTTTCTTATTAGAAGGTTCAGTTCTCAAGAACTTCTTGTCGGTCATCATTGTTCATCCAGCTATTAAGGGCTAAAACTGGGATTTCAACTGTAAATTTTAAGCTCCACCCACATCTAGTGTCCTGGCTACAAGAAGGCTTCTGCCCCTGGACCCATGCTTCGTATAAGAACAGCAGAAAAACTATATTTAGGGACATATCTGCAAACTCTTCTGATTGGACTTTTTTTTAATTTTATTTTTTATGCTATTACAATTGTCCCAATTTTTCCCCTTTTGCCCTCCTCCCCCAGCTCCTCCTTCTGATTGGACTTCAGTAGACAAATTAAACAACTGCCTCCAAGTAATGTCATGAAAAGGGACAATTACATTATATAAAGATCAGAGCTAGAGGAAGGCCATTGTGAGGCATGTGTATGGAAAAGGAGGAAAAATAAGAGTTCTTGTTTTCACCCTTCTCTATTCCAATATTTTGAAATGCATTTTCATATTAGAGAGATTCAGTCACAGGTGACTGGTTCATTCGTTTATTCACTGCATTAATTTATGAGCTCCACAAATGCAGGAACTGTGTTGTTCACAGCTGGACCCCAACACCCAGCACAGAGGTGACACCTAGCAGACATGAAATACCCATTCATGAAATAGTTGGGCTATGAAGAAACAGAGCTTAAAAGGGTTATTCAGAGGACAGAACATAATATATTAGCCTGTGTGTGCAAGGCCCATTCAAAATACAGTTACTGTTGTTTGTTTTTTTTTTATTGTTCAAATACATTTATCTCCATTTTCCCTACCACCACTTTCCCCTGCCCCACCCACCCCCTAAAAACACACTGTTACTGTTTTATCACAAGAACGCCTAGGTCAGGAACCATTTAATAACATAAGGCAAGTACTCATGTCCAGTATTACTCCATGAACTGGGGTGAGAAAGACAAACCAAGTTCGTGCTCTTGTGCAGCTTACATGTTGGCGGGGGGGATACTTACAGCGATGAGCGCTAAGAAGGGAACAGAAGAAGATAATGGAATCAAGAGGGATGGGGAGATACGTACTTCAGACAGGGAAGTCAGGAAAGGCATTGATGAGCATGTGACATTTAAGCAGGCACATGGATGATGGGAAGAGGACAGCCACGCAAAGGTCTTGGAACAGCATCCAAGCAAAATGAAGATGGCCAAGACCCTGAGATGAGAATGAGAGAGAAGTTGAAGGGGCCGTGGCGGGTCAGTGTTGCTAGAGTGAAGGAAGCGAGAGAGGTTAACCACACCAGGTCTTGTAGGGATTTATTCTCATTGAATGGGAAGTTTTTCCAGAGTTTTTAAGGAAAGAGTAGAAAACACATTATTTGATTTATGCTTTAATATTTTTCAAAGATTTTATTTATTTATTTCTAGAGAGAGGGAAAGGGAGGGAAAGAAGGAGAGAAACATCGATGTGCAAGAGCTACATCGATAGGTTGCCTCTCACACGTCCCCAGCTGGGGACCCAGCCGGCAACCCAGGCCTGTGCCCTGACTGGGAATTGAACCGGTGACCTCTTTGGTTCACAGGCCAGCACTCAATCCACTGAGCCACAACAGCCAGGGTTGACTGAGGCTTTTAAAAATCAGTCTGGCCCCACCCAGGTGGCTCAGTTGGTTGGAGCGTTGTCTTGTGCGTACACCACAACGTTGTGGGATCAATTCCAAGTCAGGGCACTTCCCTAGGCTGCGAGTGTGATCTCCAGTCAGGGGCACCCAGGAGGCAAGCTGCTGGTGTTTCTTGAACATTGATGTCTCTCTACCCCGCCCCCCACCCTTTCTCTCTCTCTCAAATCAATAAAAATGTATCCTCAGGGGAGAGGGTTTTAAAAGTAAACAAATAAATATTGTAAATAAAAATCACTGCTGCGTGAAGACGGAAATAGATAAGAGAAGGGTGCACTTAGGAGAGGCCCTCACAGCACCATTCCTGGCCTACAAGATGAAGAGACTAAGTCTTTAAAATGGCAAAGCGACAGAATGAATTTTTAAAAAATAGACAAGACAGAAGTTACTTTGGGAATGTTTCGTGGAATGGGATTGGCAGAAAGATGTGGGAAACTGGTCATTTTGTACTTCTTATGTTGAGTGGTGGATTAATGGGTGTTAATTTTACTATTATACTTCATAACTTTCATATGTCATATGCATTCTATGGATTTTATGGGTTGAATTGTGTCCCCCAAAACTCATGTTGAAGCCCTGGCCCCCAGAAGCTCAGAATGTGACTCTATAAGAATGGGCCTTTAAAGAGATACTAAGTTAAAATAAGGTGATTAGCGTGGGTGGGCTCTAATCCAATAGGACTGGTGTCCTTATATAAAGAGAAGATTAGGACACAGGCACAGAGAGGAGACCATGTGAAGACACAGAGAGAAAAGCGTCATCTAAAAGTCAACATGAGACCAGAGGAAAATAACCTTCCCAATACCCTGATCTCAGGCTGCTAGCCCCCAAAATTGTAAAAAAAATACATTTCCATTTTTAAGCCACTCCAGTTGTGGTATTTTATTATGGCAGCCCTAGCAAGCTAATAAGTATAGGTGTCAAGTATTTCATCCTTAAAATTTTTTAAATTAATTTGAAAAATCCATAAGATAGTAGAAGAATGTATGTCAAACTGTTAACAGTGGTCACTCATAAACATTTCTTCAAACTTTAAAGATGTTTTCCTTCATAGCCATCATGCCAATATTACACTGTACAAACGTAATTAACTGCTTAACATCATCGAATACCAGTCAAATTTCCCCAATTATCCCAACAATATCTAAAAAGCTGGTTTTTTCCCAGAACCTGAATCCAATCAAGCATTTGGTTGTCTCTTATGTTTTTCTGAAGCTTAGAACAATCACCCCGTCACATCAACTTTCCTTAATCTTTGTGTTTCATCTTCTCTGCAGCCAGTTGTCTTAGAGAATGTCTCACATTCTTGAATGGTATCTAATTGTTTCTTATTGTTTCTTTAGGGGTGTCTAACTGGTTCCTCCAGGCCCTATAAAGGGGAGGGTAGAACTAAAGTCTTGATTGGATTCAGGTTGAACCATTTTGGCAAAAAACCTTTGTTGAGTGATACTATATACTTTATGCTGCAGCACACTGGGGACCTCATAAACACTTGATTGTCCCTGGGTTAATGATACTAAATGAATAAGTGGATTAAGGTGAGGACAGCCGGATTTCCCCATTGCAGAAACGTCTTCCTCCTTTCTGATTGGCAAGTAATCTGAGAGGTGTATTTGGCAACACACCTCACATTTGTGTTGCTGTTTGCAGTTTACCAAATATGTTCAAATGCACAACAGCATCCCTATAGGGCTTTATTTCTATTTAACAGAAGTGAAAACTGAGTCTCGGAGTGTTTAAATAAATGACTTTTCCCAAGTCCTAGAGCCAGAAAGTGGCAAAAGCAGGATTGAAGCATAAATGGGATCACTTTAGTTCAGTAAAAAAAACAAAAAACAAACAAAAAAAATTAATCCCAAATAGCTTACATTTAACTTCAGATTTTCAAAGTGTATTCTTTCCTGAATTCAATAAATCTCTCTCACCTTCTAAAACTTTTTTCTACAAAAGTATATTTTTCGTTACTTCTTTGAGACCGGGAAACACATTACCAAGGAAAAGCCATTTGTTTTACACCAACAGCATCTCTATTGCTTATCTAAACTAGCAAAGTGTAACGGGTTCCTCATAGCTCCATTTTAACCATAGTTTACAACAGCTAAATGTTAAATAAGTTACTAAGTATGTTACTTTCACAAATGTGTGAGCGAAGTCAATTTATTAATAAAAAACCTTTGGTGCGAAGTCAGGCATACACACGTGCGCTTCTGCTAAAACCAAGGGCCTTTACGTCTGGGAGAAACACTGGCGTGAAGTACGTACGAAGTCAGGTCCTTACAAGTCTATTTTCTCTTGACAGCTAGATAGGCAACTTGAGAGACAGAACAGAAGCAGGAAATAAGGGGTGTGGTGCGATGATGAGAAAACCTGGGAGGGGAATTAGGAGGATCGTGGATCTGGGAAGGAACTGGGGAAGCGATTTCTGGACTCTCCAGGAAATCTGGGCCTTCAGCTCCGAATAAGCTACTGCGAGAGGAGTCTAGAAGGGGAAGGCTCGCTCAGGCAGGGCCTGACTGCTGAAAGTCACTCTTCCTACCAAGAAACTAGGGAGGTTTTAACTCGGCAAGAGGGACCCCAACACTACTCTTAAATAAAAAACAATTTAGTGAAACTGACTTGCTTTTATTTCCCGTCAACTTCCCCAAAGCTAGAAGCAGGCGGACACGCCCCCACAGGCGACCATCCTGGATGTTATTGGCTAGCCCAGCCTGCCCCTCTCCCAATAAGTTTCTTTCATTGGTTAACATTCTCAAGCTCCTGTACCGCCGTCCAAAGTGAATGACACTCATATTACTCAATAAGAAATGAAAGTAAGGATGTGACGAAGAGACTCCTCCCCTTTACCCTCAACTCGTTCAATCAATGGTAGAAGACGTTGAGCAGCTGACACCAACCACCAATCCGTAAGGGCGGAAGAGGGACGCTAAAAAGAATTATGGGAGAGGGTGACGTGGCGGTGACGAGAGCATAAACTGAAATGAATGGCAGAAGCCCTAGCCAATCGGTGATCAAATTGGCCGGGTACTCTGCATTCTCGAGCCCTCCCCAAGTGCTGGACACTTCAGAAATGTACCAATGAGCTTTACAGAAATCTTAGGGGCTTTCATATAAACCAATCAACGGCGTATCTGGTGGACAGGTCCCACCCCCGGGCTTTCACTTGGCAGTATGGAATGACAGGCCCCAAGAAAAACGCCAATATCCTAGGGGTCTTCCGCAAGTGACACTCAGCAGCACCAATCGACTTTCTTTTACCGGCGACTGGTCCCTCCTCCCCACGGCGGGCCTGGCGGGGCGGTGACGCTGCGCGGCGGCGGCTGATGCGCTAGCTGTGTGAGGCGTTCCGGACGGCGACGGCGGCTCTCGTAGGCGGTTCCGGTCCTGTATTCTCCGGGCGGTGGCAGTTCATGGCGGCGACTGAGCTGAAAGGAGTGATGGGGCCGGGCCCGGCAGCCATTGCAGTTCCGGGCGGCGGCGGCACCGGTCCCCCCGTGGTGGGAGGCGGAGGCGGCCGCGGAGACGGCCGCGGAGACGCAGGGCCAGGCTCCGGGGCCTCGCCGTGCTCCGGGGCCACGCTGGGCACCGTGGCTGCGGCGGCTGCGAGCGGCCCCGGCCCCGGGACTGGGGGAGTGGCGGCGGCGGGCCCAGCCTCAGCGCCTCCGGCGGGGGGCTCGGGCGGATCGGGCGCTGGGGGTTCGGGCTCGGCTCGAGAGGGCTGGCTCTTCAAATGGACCAATTATATCAAAGGCTACCAGCGGCGGTGGTTCGTGCTGAGCAACGGGCTCTTGAGCTACTACAGGTAACTGCTTCCGGGGCGCTGTTCCCCACCGCAGCCCACAGTCCCCACGCCGTCACCCTCTTCAGCCAGCACCGCAGCCAAGGTCGCCCCAGGCTCCTTGTCGTCACCTGCGGGCATTGACAGCCCGCGACATGGGCCCACCATGATAAGGAGTTAATGCCCTGGACTGACTTCTCTACTTGTGGGGGTTACCCATCTTTGGTGCCATACCTTCCCCGCTCGGCCCCTGGCCTTTGTAGTTGTTTTAAGAGCATCGGTTTTCCCATTAGGTTCTCACCATCGGTGCAATGGTTAATTTTGCAAGGAAGGTGCTGTTGTAGGTGCCAAGGGGCACGTATAGGAGAGCAAAGCCCAGGCACTGCACCCAAGGAACTTAAAAGTCCCAAGGTTTAGCTGTTTGTGCCTAGTCTCCAAATTTCAAGGTTATTAGCAGCCCTTGATGTACCCGCCTTTGCTCTCCACTTTCAGGCTCAAGGACACCGATCACAGGGTGGGCCCGGTATCTGTCCCCTGGTCTTCCTTACCTCTCCAAGACTTGCCTATGCCTTCTCCTTCTAGACAGCTCAGAATGAAGATGTGCACTCCAGCGCTGTTTGTATTTTTGCTTTCCCCACCTCCTTCCATGGGAATGATTAAGTCTTTTATCCAGTAGTATTTCTGGGGTCTCTGGTTAGTTTGGATTCAGTTTATTAAAAGAAGAACCAATGTCTTTGATATGATTACATCTGTTTAACAATGTGTGTTTTGGAATGTTTAATATATATATTTATGGTGACTAACAGTCTTGCCATAACATAACATGTCTTTGACTACTCATGTTACTATAGATAGAGGGATTAAGATAGCAGATTTGGGTACAGGACATAAACATTTTCTGAGGGCTAGACAGTTTGGATGAGTGTTTTACATACAGTGTTTCATTTACTCCCAACAGCCCTGGGAATTAGGAATTATTCCTATCTTCCTGCTGAGGAAACTGAGACTTAGCTTGGGCAACCTTCCTCAAGTCTTGAGGGGTCAGGATTTGAAACTAGTGCTGTTCACACCAACCTAACCTAAAACCCCAGTTAGTGTTACATGAATCAGATACAGAGATAATTGGGTATCAGTAGCAAGTAAGTTTATAGATTATGGTTAATATGGTTATTTTTACACAAAAATGTTTAAGAGTCTCCGTGGGAGACTATTAGTACAGTGGCATTTCTAATTGAAATCTTTTGATGAAGACCATCATATTTGGGACACAATATGCTGTTGTTAAGAGCAGTTCACGCTCTCTCTTCCTCTGCCCCCAGTCACTCTGCCACCAGAAGAGTTAGAGTGAATGTATCTCTTCCATTAATTACATTGTATTGGCTCTTAGAGAAATGTTGAGGGGTAGCCAAAGGTGGGAGTTGGAAGTTTAGTTGGATTTAGAAACAGTGGAAAATACCGTAGTGCATCCTCACTGCTTAGTGACATTAATTGTGGACAGTTGTGTATATCATTTACATTATTCTAATTACTTATGCAGGACTTTAAGGTTAAATCAAAAATCAAAAATTTAGTTTGCTCCAAAGCTTTTCCCCTACTCATTCTAATGTTCAATTGATTCACATCCTAATTTGTCTTGTAAGTCACTGTTAACTCTGATTCCCCATTTTCAAAAGTTATGTATCAGCTAGGGGCCTTAATGTACAATCACTTTCCCCATCTATATTGTTATCAGATCCACTTTCCAGGCCAGTTGATTCTTTGATCAGTACCAGTCATGCTATATATATATATATATATATAGTGTGTGTGTGTGTGTGTGTGTGTGTGTTTTACTTTTAAAGAGATGGGAAGGGAGGAAGAAAGAGGGAGAGAAACATCGTTGTGCAAGAGATATATCCATTGGTTGCCTCTCATGCCCCCAACTGGGGACCTGGCCCGCAACTCAGGCATGTGCCCTGACTGGGAATCAAACCGGCAACCTTTCAGTTTGCAGGCCAGCACTTACATGTGTTGTTTTCAAGTACCTGAAACCACTTTGGAGTTCTCTCTTATAAGAGCTAGTGGTACCTGTCTGACCACAGATAAAACTCCTTCCAAAACATATCAAACCACATGCTGGGAAATATGCCATGGTCCTGTCCTTGCCAGCTAAGACAGTCCCACCCACAGACCAACCAAGCAACAGGGTCCAGAAGTATCAAGTCTATGTGCTACCCTCAAAATCAAATTGAAGTACTTCCTACCAACTCTGTAGGTAGTTTATTCTTCCTAATAGAGTTCTTCCAGTCCTCGGCTCCCTAGACTTATTTAGCTGAGTTGTCATTCCTCTTGCTTTTCATGCCTCCAAAACCTGTCATTTCCTATATGTGCCTTTCACAAAATACTGTTTTCTTTTTAACTGAGATCATGTATCTCCTAGACCCATCCCCTGACGAACTGTCCTAATAGGCTTTGGCAGCACCGCTTCCCTCTTTTTATGTATCCTGTTCTTCTTACATACCCAGTTACACAGATGGCCAGTTACTTAAAACCAAATGTGGAATCCCAGCTCTCCAGACAGATCGCGACAGGCCCGTGACAGGCCCATCGTATTGGTTTTCCTGGCTAGCTTCTAGAGATTGAGTTACACTTTCAACTGGCATTTTCAGAGAAGAAATCTGTAGCCACCTAACACTGCACTACCTGAAGAACCTACCTTGCACTCTGAAAATCATTCTTTTCCAGCTTCTATACTGATCATTTATAACCATCTGCATATTTGCCCAAATCCAAGAACCTCGAGGTCAGGCCTGCCTTACTCCCAGGGTTCCTTTATATCTTTAAAACTGCTGCAGACTTTACATGATTTGAGAAACTTCTTTAGTTCATGAACATGAACAGGCAGAAGAGATTCCTGGGCGGTGATTTGTGAAAAGTTACCAACACACGGTGAGGAATGTGGTAGAAGGTCCAAGTAGCACCTTTGGAGTAGAAAGCAAGGGTGAGCTGCTGTCAGCTGCGGGTCTGTAATTCGGCCTGCATTATTCATAATGTAACTGAAGCCTGGGTGGGAGGCGGGGAGGCCAGAACAGTAAAAACAGGGATTCACGTTACAGCGCGGCAGGTGCAGGAGATGGAAAGTGGCCCAGTCCACTGAGACCCCCCGGCCATCCCATGGTGCTCGTTTGTGCATATGAGGATAAAAAACCAGTTTCATGTGACATACTGAACAATAGCACATCTGTCTTCCTAAGCACAGTAAATGAACTTTCTCAAACATACCAAATCTTACTTTCTGGAGACAGGTGTGTGTCGCTTCTGGCATGCAGGAATTCTGGATGTGCCAGGTGTGCTTGGCCCCTTGGCCCCAGAAAGGGAAATGGCCCTGCTTTGCACTGTGGCAGTTGGCAAAGGACTTTGACCTCTCTGTGTTCCAAGTTGGTCAGGAAAAACTGCAGTCTCAACATGCAGGTCCCCGGGCATAGCCAGCAGGTGGTGGGGAAATTAGCACAGTTTACACTGTACACCCAATTGTTCTAGCAGCTTGCCGTCTTTTTTTTTTTTTTTTTTTGGTATTTATTTTTAAAGAGAGGAGAAAAAGAGGGAGAGAAACAATGATGTGCAAGAGAAACATCAATAGGTTGTCTCTTTCATGTCCCCCACTGAGGACCTGGCCCACAACCCAGACAGGTGCCCCGGAGCTCAGTCCACTGAGCCACACCAGCCAGGGCAGTGGCTTGCTATCCTATGTGAAGTCTCTTGTAGCTTGTTGTCACCAAGCAGTGCTGTAAAGTTCAAAAGTTAGGCTATGAATAGAACTGTCAGTCAGTAGAGATGGGGAAAATTTTTACACCCAGTCCTCCGAGAACAGATTTGCTGAATCTTTCCTAGCTATTAATAGATGGCTTAGGAGTTCCCACCCATAGAGGTCAGTGGATCTTAGGAAAGAACATAGTCCAGAAAGATTAGACCACCTGGTGATTCATTTATGATTATTTTGTCTTTTCCCCCACAGAAAGCTATTCATTCCTATTTCATATCATTTGGGCTGTAGTCAACACTTGATATGCTAAACATCTAGGTGTGTCTTATACTTCTGCAATACAATTTGAAGCATAGTGTGACAGGTCTCGTGTGTTGAGTTAAAGTTGGGGAGGATTGTTCAGTACGTGTAAAATGGAGCTATTCTTTTAGGGAATGAGACTGTTAGGCAAAATTTTGTTGCATGAGTTTATAAAGCGCTATTTTATAATTATAACTTTCTAATAATTCCTGACTAAGGGCATGAAGGAACTTTTCTGTGTGATGGAAATATTCTACATTTTCATTGTAGAGGTTGTTACACAATTATATACATTTGTCAAAACTCACTGAAATCGTACACTTAAAATTGCTGAATTCACATTGTCGTTACACTTCAGTGAAGCCTTTTTTAAAAAAGCTAAGGGTGATAGGAACAGCAGAGCAATACAGTTTGACTCAGAAACAATACTTAGGCTCTAAAAGGGTCTGATTTCCCTCAAACAGGTTCCTACTAATTGTTTCTTGAATATAGGGACCTGTTTGAGAGAAATATTAGGACTTGCTCATTCCTACCAGTACTGTATTTTTAAAAGGCTTATTATAATGAAAAGAAATGGAACATGATCAAGGAGTGGCTAGCCACCCATTAGCTTTCTGCTTAGCATGTCTTTGCCTCGTCATCGTAGGTCAAAGGCAGAAATGAGACATACCTGCCGCGGTACCATTAACCTCGCCACAGCCAACATCACTGTGGAGGACTCCTGCAACTTCATGATCTCCAATGGGGGTGCTCAGACCTACCATCTGAAGGCCAGCTCGGAAGTGGAGCGGCAGCGCTGGGTGACGGCCCTGGAACTGGCCAAGGCCAAGGCCGTGAAGATGCTGGCAGAGTCAGGTGGGGAGCAAAGAACATTTTGTCTGGGAAACTTTCCATTTGCTTGTCCTACGCACAAATCCTGTTTTATCCCTCATGGTCATTTAATTATCAACAATCTCCTAGATGTCTCGGTTTTTTATCATGCAGTATTTCTGCTGGAATGGTGATTTTCAACGGAGGGCAATTCTGCCTTGCAGGGGACATTTAACAATGTCTAGAGCCATTTTTCTGGTCCTGGCTGAGGGGTGGCGGTGCTGTTGGCAGGTAGTGGGTAGAGGTCAGGGAGGCCACGAAGCCTCCTGCAATGCAGAGGACAGCCACCCCCAGCAAAGCTGTCTGGCCCAAAATGTCAGTAGGGCTGAGGTTGAGGTTTATGTCCTACAGGCATGAACAGCTGTCCTTTTGGCTTTGAATGCCAATTCACTACTTAAAATTTTGAGAAATAATTATTTTATTGCTAGATCAGTCTTAGGATTATTACAGCTCACAATTTGGATCTATCCTTACTTTTTTCTTTTCTCCTGACATCTTACTTAACTGTTAGTTGAGTTGAAACAGTCTTCATAGACTGCCAAAAACATTGTGTGTGATATTTTCTATGAAAAATCTTCATTTTGCTACCTTCGTTTCACTGAAGATGAGCAATCTAATTATGTCTGGATTTTTCTTTAAGGAAAATGGTGGGATTTTCCCTCCTAGCTGTTGATAGTTTAATCATACTGAGCTTGTTCACTTTGAGCTGACCAAGATGCTTACCAGCAGACTTTTGTTCATCTGTTGGTGGTGGTGGTTTGTTTTTTGTTTTGGGTTTTTTGGCTTTTTTTTTTTTTTTTTTTTTTTTTAAGATCGAGGGGAAAGGAGGGCGAGAGGGAGAGAAACGTTAACCTGAGAAAGAGACATTGATTGGTTGTCTTCCTTACGCACCCCAACTGGGGACCTACAGGTGCCCTACAAAGGATCAAACCAGAGACCTTTTGGTTTGTGGAATGACGCCCCGCCAGCTGAGCCATGCGAGCTATTTTTCCTATGCCCTGTCATTTCCCATACCGTATTTAATATCTATTAAGCAGTGAGAGGAAAATTCACTGCTTTGTAAATTTTTTGGGAACAGGTTATATTTTCACTTTGGCCATGCCTCTGTCTAGCAGATAGGTCAGGTGTTTCCTTATTTCTTTTGTTTTGATTTTAGTGTTGTTGGCAGCTCCCCCAAAGGAAGTGACACTGCTGGAAAAGCACTTTGCAGCCACAAAAGTGTTAGACACAAAACTGGTAGTGAGAAGTACAGCATAGCTGTCTGCTTGACTTACTATGAGAGAGCCATTTACCAGGAGACCTTGTATTACTTTCAGTGCAATGGTGGCTCTTGGGTCAGAAATGATAAATAAATGTGTTATCGTCTCATCTCCAAAAAATATGAATTAATGAGTCTTTTGGTGATGTGGACTTTGTTTACAAGGAGCTAGACTGTGATCCTCAACCCATTTCATACAGGGCCCACTGATCAGCCAACAGGTGATAGTGAATTTGCTGTAATAAACAGCTGGAACTGGATTGGAACCCTCACACTAGAGTTTTAAGGCTCAATAATTCATACCTAACCCCAAGAGCCATTTAGCTTCTCCATCCTGTCCTCTAGGTTCCGAAACCTCAGTATGCTTCGGAATTACCAGACAGCTTATTCAAAATGCAGGTTCCTGGGCCTTACCTCACACCAGGCAAATCAAACTCTCTAGAGGTGGGGCCAGAGAGTCTGCACCTGTAAGAAGAACCCCAGGTGTTTGTCAATATAGGTGGGCTGCGGACCACACTGTAGAGAAGTTATCTGGTACCGGCAAGCTGTCGGTCAAAACGCACAATGGGAGAAGTGGGCAGAGCTGGGAGGGTTCAGGCTCTCACTCCTGGGCATAGAATCCTGTAACTTACCTTTTGCATCTGCAGATGAGTCAGGAGACGAAGAGTCTGTCTCACAAACTGACAAGACAGAGCTGCAAAATACCCTCCGGACCCTGTCCAGCAAAGTGGAGGACCTGAGCACGTGCAACGACCTGATAGCCAAGCACGGCACGGCGCTGCAGCGCTCCCTCAGTGAGCTCGAGTCCCTGAGGCTGCCCGCCGAGAGCAACGAAAAGATCAAGCAGGTCAACGAACGAGCCACGCTCTTCAGGATCACATCCAATGCCATGATCAACGTAAGTGCAGATGGTGTCTGTGTTGCTTTGTGGTTCTTTCCCTCTCAAAATGTCATTGTTCCCAAATGCTGGAAAATTGTATTGATAAAGCACAGAGCATTAGGTCCAGCTTTGCTGCTCAGGGCATGTAAGTTACATTGTTTGTTGCGTGAAATAGAGCGGGGAGCACAGGCGGAATGACATTCACACTCTGCTCAGGTGATCAGGAGGATGCTGCTCTAGCCCTGTTGGGAGTCCAGAGTCCAGCCCTGCTTCTGCAGCGCTTGAGTATCTGATGGCCATGTTAATTGCGTCCATTAACCCCTCTGGGTTGTGATTTTACTTATTTTAAGCTAACTTTATCTGTTAGAGCTAAACAATCTCATGGGTCCTTTCCACTGTCAAGTTCTTTGATCTTTAAGTCGCAGCCTGATTCCTGCGCGTTAATGCATCCTGGCCTGGAGTGTGCTAAATGGGGCTGGACCAAGCCCTGGTGAGAGCCTCCTCATTACTAGTTACCGGTATTCCCGTCTTCACTCCGTGCTTTCAGGGGTAACTTTGGGGGGTAAGACGAAATACTCAGCTTTGGATTCTTTTTTTTTTTAAAAGAAGGGGCCAGTGCTTCTGTCTCCTTGTGCTTTCTATCTTGGTGGCTGTTGTTGATTGATGGAACACTTACGCAGCTTGGCTGCAAGACTCCCAAGTAAAGCCAAAGCACCACTGGCATTAGCGATGTATTTCAGAGCCTGGGTGATTGGTATGAAACGGATACATGATTTAAAATGCTGTTTGTCCTTTACTGGTGACTGACTCTCACCTGGGAGTTTGTTTTAGTAGCTTCCACACAAGAACCCTCAAAGACATTTCATAGCATCAGTGAGAAGGAAACTCTCTGAGAAGGGGCTTGTATGAGATTTGTTTCTTCTTCTTATCTTATTAAATGGGGTGAAATTACTTCACTAGGGCCAGATTTTCCCTGGTTGGGGGAGTGAAAAATAAGACATTTGCTTAGAGCTACTGTGGCTCTCGGGGCTCCCAGAGATCGAAGGTCTTCCCTGTGACCAAGGGGAAGTTTAATTTTACTCATTTGAAAGCCCTTTGTTACTTAATAACAAACTTATGATAACCTTTATTTTCATATCATTTTCCGAAGTGTGGAACACTCACAGAAGGTAGAAAAGACAGAGAATTCTGTGCACTGCGGAACCACCAGCCGTCTCCGGGGCCCGCTGCTCGTCAGCACGGAAGCCGCGTGTCTCCTGTCTAGTCAGGCGCTCTCCCTCCCAACTGTGGCCCCTCTTAGTGGTTGTGCTTGCTCCTCTGGTCTCTCTTGTGGTCCGGAAAGCCTCGTAAATCACCCAGGTCACTCGATCAGCAGTGAATAATGTTGCCTTTTATCCCCATCAGGGGAACACCTGGCTCTATGACAGTTTTTCTTCTTTTAATGTGAAAAATTTTCTAAATAAAACACCTCTTGATTGAAAAATTTCTTATAAAACCAAAACTTCAGTTTGGATTTTACCCTTGAGACTGTGCTCATCTTTGTTCCTTGGAGCAGTTCTTCTCTGCATTGTAAGCGTCCAGAGTCTGTGTCAAAGGGAATGTGAGTCCTTGGAAGTCAGAAGAAAGTTGTGTCTTATTCTGTTCCCCCCTTTCATAGTGAGTATTGCTTAAAATTCATTGTTTGTTTGTTTTTAACCCCTGTCTTGTTTCCTTTATACCTTTTAGGTGATGGTGGCAAGGTCTTAAGTGCAATATGCCTCTTAGAAATTACTGTCCTAGCACATCACATCTCTAAAGGGAGATTTATATGAAAGGAGGTACACATTTTACTCAGTTTCTTAGGATGTAGCTTTTCTGTACTACCACAGTGAGTCTAATCGGAGGAGCAAGCTGGACGCTGTCAGAGCATCCATTTGCTAATTCGTTGAACATCTGTGTCGCACCTTGGGTTCTAGGCACTATGCTAGGAGACAGAAAACAAATGTGTGCCCTCACGGAGATTACTCTCTAATGATGGGGCAGAGAAGTGACCAGATCATATGGACTGTGCTGAGTGCACGAGAGAAAGAGCAGGGGCTGCTATGGGATAGCACATTGGAGGTGTTTAGCTCAGATTGGGAGAGTTTAGAATTCAACTAAATTCTGAAAGACCAGAGAGAGCCTTCCCATGAAAAAAAGGCAATACAGAGCCTGGGATGCTGCAGCCAGCTGCCCCAGTTAACTATCTGCATAGCCCGGGGCGGCCTGCTTCCTCTGTGGCTTCCATTTCTTTTCCCTAAATGGTGGCAATACTGGTAAGCTGCTCACAAGGTTATTGAAAGGCCTTTATCAGAAAATTGATATAAAGCCTTCAGCAAAGCGCCTGACAGATAATGGTCTCTCAGTAACTTTTCATTGTGATTAAGATTGTTAAAAAGAAGTGAGAGAGAAGAGTTGATCCAGGTAGAAGTGTGGCATATGCAGAGCCCTTCCTCTCTTCCAAGGTCTGGTAACTGCTGGTAATTGACTGTTAGTGGAACAAGGTAGTAGCTAGGGATGAGGCTGGAAAAAAATTAAGCGTGAGGAGGTGATGGGGTGCAGCTCATACTCAGTGGGTTTGGTAGAAGTGCGTTTAAAGAGGATAAGATCAATTTTGGTGCAGACTTAGTATAATAGCCAACACCTGATTGAATGCTTACTGTGAGCCCATATGGTTCTAAATGCTTTACATGTAAAGCAACAACTCTTTGAGGTAGTTACTATTGTTACTCTCTGTTTACAGGTGAGGAAGAAGAAGCGCAGAGAGGTTAAATTACTAGCCTAGAATCCCATAGCTAGACAGTCAGGTGGAGCCCCAACAACCCCACTCCAGTGTATGTGCCCTGTGCGGCCTCTGAGCATGGAGGAGGGAAAGAAGGGTGTGCCTGGCTGCGGGACTCAGCCAGTTAGAGTGTCACCCCTGTACCCCAAGGTTGCGGGTTTGATCCTTAATCAGGGCACATGTGAGAATCGACCAGTCAATGCGTAAATACGTGGAGCAACAGCTCTCTCACTCTTTCTCTCTCTTCCTTTCTCTCTAAAAATCAATTAAATTTTTTTAAAAATAAAGAGGCATGCAGATTCCAGAAATATTAAAGAAGAATCCATAGGACTTGATAATTCATGTGAAGAGGGACTAAAAACTCAGAACCAAGGATTCTCCTTGGTTTTCTGGCCTGGGCAGGTGGAAGGGCCCCGAGGGAGGTGGAGTCAGGAAGGGAGGCTGGGGCGTTCAGGTTGGGACCCACAGAGTTTGAGATTATCTTGAGCCACTGAATAGGCAACTGGATATTCTGGTCTGAAGCTTTATGAGGACAGAGTGGGAATTACTGATTTCATAATCATTAGCCTATAGGCAGTAGTTGAAACCATGGGTGTAGATATTTTATTTACCTTAGAGTTTCTCTAGACCAGGGCATTGAATTTTAAGATTGCATTGCTTAATTTTTGTCATTTATTTATTAAGCAAGCTTTATTGGGCTCCTACTATGTACAAAGCAATTAAGATATGAATTAACTATAAATTATGTCTTCAGATTGCTTATGATCCATACAAAGAGACAGAAAATCGGTCATGATGTTGCTTTGGCTGCTGTAAAATAGAAATATGTTCCAAGAGCTGTGGAAATGTAGAGAAGAGACTGGCTTCTTAAGCAAGTGAGGGAAAGTGTCACAGAAGATAACATTTGCCATAGATGTTAAACAATTCAGAGGTCTTGGCCAAGTAGAGAAGAGTGGTAGGAAAGGGCATTCTAGGCAGAGGGAATAACATACGCTGTGATGAGAAGGCCTGAAAGAAATCTGCCAGTCCCGGAAATGGTGAGCAGTTCAGTGCAATTCCACAGGAAGAGGCAAGAGGTAGCCCTACTGTGAGGGGCCCTTTGTATCTATAACCAGTAGTTAGGGAGCCAGTGAAAGGACCGATATGATTGGATCGGGGTTTTGTCTCTGGAGTCTGTCTTTGATTTCTCAGGCAGGTGTCTAGTTTTTAATGTCAGTTGTTTCTTAATGACCAAAATAGAAACAAATTGAGTGTTCCTGCATTTGGTCTAATTAAGTGCAGATTCTCTGTTCTCAGTGTCTGAATTCCTCAGCTTTAGGTGACTTGAGTTTAGTCAAGAATTTACTGAAAGCAGTCATCCTCTGTTTTTCCTCATCTTTCTTTCAGTCAATAGATTTGTTTCTTTTGGTGTAGTTCACATAGCTGCCCTTTGTGATGTTGCCACAAATACTTTGTCCTGGTGTATTGCTCACTTGGCATTTGGTTGGTCCTCATGACCTGGGAAATATAAAAGAACCATGACAAACCATGCTCATTTGTTTTTTCTGGAGTTGACCTTCATTGCACCAGGCAGCGGGCTGTCCCTGATTCTGTGGAATAACAGGGAAAGTCTTTCACTGTAATCTGTGTGTTAAAGTTCCCAGAATAAGGTGACTTCGTGGGCTTACAGAGGCCTGAGGGTTGTCTCTGACTGGTTAAGTTGGTGTGACACATATTAACTCTTTTCCGCTACAGGCCTGCAGAGATTTCCTTACGTTAGCCCAGACCCATAGTAAAAAATGGCAGAAGTCACTACAGTATGAAAGGGACCAGCGTATCCGGCTGGAAGAGACCTTGGAGCAGCTGGCAAAGCAGCATAATCACCTGGAGAGGGCCTTCCGAGGAGCCACGGTGCTACCTGCAAACACTTCTGGCAGTGTAGGTTCCAGTAAAGGTAAGACACTGATAGAGAAACTCCAAATTCTCCAGAATCAGTGACTCATGTGAAATGCAATGATTGGAGCTGCTTATCTCTTCAGGCGTTTCCACTGTTTTCTACCATTTGTTGCTGTGTTTGTGATTAGATTTAAACGATCCTGCTGTGCCAGGTTGGTAAATATAGCCAAGGTAAATGAATAAGGCTTTTCCCCTTGTAGATCAGTGCTTCTCTGGCAAAGGAGACATGAGTGATGAGGATGATGAGAACGAATATTTTGATGCCCCTGAGATCATCATCATGCCTAAAAATTTGGGCCACAAGTAAGTTATCTTTGACTCTCAATAAGAATGAACGTATCTGACCATCAAAAGGTTAGAAATGCTTCAGTGGAAGTATCGTAGTTGTCAGTGTTTACTGAGGTCTAGGCCCTTTTCGTAAGTAAGTGGGAAACGATTAGCTTCTTTACGTGAACAGGTTGTTCAGAGATTTTTAAATTCATACATATTTCAATTTATTATTTTCTTTTTTCTGGTTTTTTTTATTGTTCAAGTGCAGTTGTCTCCATTTTCCCACCACTACTTTCCCCCGCCCCACCCACCCCCACCCCCGACCCTTAATCCTTCCCCGCTATGGCTTTGTCCATGGGTCTTTTATACATGCTCCGTGACTTGACCCTTCCCTTTCTTACCCCCATTATCCCCCATCCCCCTCCTCTCTGGTTACTGTCAGTTTCTTCTTTATTTCCATGTTGCTGGTTATATTTTGCTTGCTTTTTTGTTTTGTTCATTAGGTTCCACTTAGAGGTGAGATCATATGGTATTTGTCTTTCACTGCCTAGCTTACTTCACTTAGCATAATGCTTTCTAGTTCCATCCATGATATTGCAAAGCGTAGTAGCTCTTTCTTTCTGCTGCGTAGTATTCCATTGTGTAAATGTGCCATAGTTCCTTGATCCACTCATTTACTGTTGGGCATTTAGGTTGCTTCCAACACTTGGCTATTGTAAATTATGCTGCTGTGAACATTGGGGTCCATAGGTTCTTTTGAGTTGGTGTTTTGGGATTCTTAGGGTATAATCCCAGCAGTGGAATTGGAAGGGGAGGGCCAGAAGACAGTTCCATTTTTAGTTTTTTGAGGAAATTCTAAACTGTTTTCCACAGTGGCTGTATTCATACATATTTTATTCCAAGTGTCATTCGATCACCCATTAATAAGTTTGTGCAGTGTGCTTAGCATTCTGCTTTGTAAAGGCATGGCAAGGACCAAACTCTAGTTCTGCTCTTTGTTCTAATTCTCATACATTTCCCACCCATGTAGACGTACTGGCAGCAACATCAGTGGAGCCAGCAGTGACATCAGCCTTGAGGAGCAGGTAACTCTTGCTGGGGAGTTATTTGAAGCGAGGGGCTTGAAGTGTGATTCACAAGGGCTTGTTTGTAAAGCACTAAGAGAAACAGAAAGTACTGGAATTTTTTTTTTTTCCCTTTGAGCAAGGGGAAAGGAAAGGGAAGGTTATAAATACTGGGTTTTCTGTACTCTGTGGGAGATTGAATGGCTTTGTCTTTGTTCTCAGTGCAGGTATCAGCTGGAAGAGACCAAGAAGGAGAAGAGAACTAGTATACCAGTCAAGCCAAACTATAGCCTCAATTTGTGGAGCATCATGAAGAACTGCATCGGAAAAGAACTCTCTAAGATTCCCATGCCGGTGAGGTTCTCCCACACCCAGGCTGCTGCCAGGAGGCCCTGCCAGGCCTCGGTGGGGAGAGAGCTGCTGCGACGGCCCACCTACTGGGGCGGCAGATCGTGGTGTGGTCTTTGTTACCCTTAGAGGTGTATCTATCCCTTAAAAGTACCTGCTTTTATTTGGGCTGTGGATCTGGTATACAAAGATAATAGTTGCTGTTTTCAAGAAGTGTGTAGTTTAAAGGAGACAGGCATGAAAACATAAAAACTATTATTTTCTCTGATAGTGTTGTTTGAAGTACTGTACATACAAAGGTTCGGAGAGCACAGAAGCGAAAACAATTAATTCCAACCAAGAAGGGGAGGACCATCGCCATGGTGAAGTCGGTGTCTGTGCCGACCTCCCTGCCCCCAGTCCTGTCCTCTTGCAGTCTGTCCACGCTGTTGCCAAAGTGATCTTTTCAAAGCTGAAAATGTACTTGTTGTCACTCCTTAGCTTAAAATCCTTAACTAGGTCTTTATGGCTTCGAGAGCAGACTGGATTCCTTGGTGGGCTGGATGCTTCCCCTCCCCTCCGGCCCCCCGAGGATGAGGCTGTGTCCACACACATCTGGTGGTCTGGTCATTGGGAACTGCCTTCAGGTGCTCAGAGGCATCTTGTCTTTTCCCTCAGGACATTTGCACACACTGCTCTTTTTCTGCTAACGATTTCTGCTCCCCACCCTCCCTTGCCGCTTTTCTTTTGCTAAATACCCTTTCCTTCAGGATTCAGCAGTGGTATCATCTCTCTCAGCACAGCTTCATCCATGCATCTGGTCAGGGTGAGATGTTGTCCCTCCTTTGCTCTCACAACTTCCATCGTTTATGTCTGGGAAATGGATATCACTTGCTTGTTCATCCCACAAGCACTTACTGAGCACTTATTATTTGCTTGGTGTTGTAACAGCATGTCAGTTAGGTGTACATTTAATTAAAGAAAAAATTCAGCCCTGGCTGTTGTGGCTCAGTTAGTTGGAGTGTCATTCCTTAGACCGAAAGGTCTGAGATTCAATCCCCAGTCAGGGTGTATGCCAGAGGGCAACCGATTGACATAGGTGTTTTTTTCTCTCTCCCCACTTCCTTTCCTTTCTTTCTAAAAGCAATGAAAAAATGTCCTTGAGGGAGGATATATAAAAATAAAAAACAAATTCAAAACATACTGGTTTAAACCAGGGGTCAGCAAACTGTGAGCCTCTGTGCAGCCTGCAAGCTAACAATATAGCTTGTATCCATTTTATTATTAAATTTATTACTGTGATACTGGTTAATAAGATTATGTAAGTTTGTTTTTATATATTTTTTAAAGATTTTATTCATTTATTTTTAGAGAGGGGAAGGGAAGGAGAAAGAAAGGGAGAGAAACATCAACTGGTTGCCTCTCATGCACCCCCAACTGGGGACCTGGCCCACAACCCAGGCATGTGCCCTGACTGGGAATTGAACCTGTGACCTTTCAGTGTGCAGGCCAGCACTCAGTCCACTGAGCCACACCAGCCAGGGCATGAGTTTTTATATTTTTAAGTCCTTGAAAAAAATCAAAAGGAGAATATTTCATGATGTGAGAATTATATGAAATTTAGATGTTAGTGTCCGTAAAGTTTTATTGGAATGCAGTGATGCTCATTTCATTGCCTATTGTGGCTGCTTTCATCCTGCAAGAGCAGAGTTGAATGGTTGTGACAGAGTCCATATGGCCCTCAAAGCCTAAATATTTACCATCTAGCCTTTACAGAAAGAGCTTGGCCAGCCCCCTCCTTAAACAAATACTCGCTTACTCATTCTCACGCTAAAGTCCAGAAGTAGGTGGCTCAGGGCTGGTACTGTGCTCTGCAGTGTCCAGACCAGGTTCTTTTCTGTCCTCACACTCTGCTACCTGTGACCTCAGTTTCTAGGTCTTAAATGGCTGCTCCGGGTTGGGCCATCAGGGTCTCATTCCAGCCAGTAGGAAGGAAAGAGGAGAAGGGTGTGCTTCCTGGAATTGCATAAACCCTTTCACTTCAATCTCTTTGGCCAGATCTTGGTCACATGGCCATAGCCAGCTGGGAAAGAGGCTGGCAAGGAAGACGTGTATATTTGGTGGCACCACCTAGTTAAAAATTCAGAGTTCTGCCTCTTGCAGAAGGATGGGAGACTGGGTAGTGGAGGGTGGCTGCAGGTTCGGCCCACAGCCGGGTTCGTGGCTACAGAAATACAGAAAGCATTCTCTTACCCTCTTGGGGCTTATGGACCAATGATCACAGGCTGCGTTCCTCATGGGCGGAGACTGTGCCTTACTTGTCTTTATAACCTTGATTCTTCACCAGCACCTAGCACATATATACCATTCAGCAAATGCTGAAGTGATTAGTTAATTGGGTCTTGGAAAACTGATAGATTTATATGTAAGTGGGTAGGATTTCTGTTTAAAAAATGTTGACCTCCAGAAAAGGCCTTGAGTAAGCACACCAAAGAAACAAAATGACTGGTTCACCGGGGGCCTAAAAGATGTCCCACTTGTCTGCTGCCTTGAAGGAAGTGCCTTGAAGGAAGTGCCTTGGGAACGTGGGCCGGAAAGGCAGATCCTGCTTAGAAACAGCTTCTGAGTGTAGGTGACCTCTCCACCCTCCTTTACCATTAGTTCCTTGTTGACTTTGCCACTAGGAATGTGCCGCCCGGCACTGTTTGCCTCCAGGTCTAGACCTTGCCCTTCCCTGCTCTGTGCTGTGTCACGGAAAGCTGGTCCCTCTAGGCTGTTTCTCGGGCTTCCGCGTCTACTGACATCTGGCTGGGCTCCGCCAGTGCAAGGTGCCAGTAGGAGTTTGTAGCAGGGCGGAAGGGAAGAACCCCAGGGTGCTTATGGGGGTTCTGGCCTCTGCCAGGTGGCTCTGGCGTCGAGGCCGCAGTGGGACCACTGCTGTTCTCTGTCCCTTAAGCTTACCAATGGCTATGGCTTTCTGCTGATACTAACCTCTAGCCTGTCTTTTTGGGCTGTCCAACTCTCCATGAGCTTTATAATGGATTCCCTGCTTCCCTCCACTTGAAATTCACGGATTCATTTGTTTCCCTGTTAGGCCTCAGAGCGATAAAATGGCCAGCACGAGAAGCTTGGCACTTCTGGAGAAACTACGGCCCCAGGGACAGTTAGGGGTCAGGGCTGTGTGTATGTGTGAAAGGCAGTGACAGCTTAGGGGTGCAGTGATTCTAGTCCCTGGCAGTGCTGCTGCGTCTTTTAGCCACTAGGAGAGGGGACCACCCATCCCCAGTGTTTCTCAGAATATCTGGAAACCCACTTAACGTCACCTAACATTCTGCAAATGAGAAATTTTGTTGGCAAAGTTAATAAGCCTCCTCTGTGGGAAAGAAAAAGACTCAAGTCTTGTCAGTCTGTCGCCCCTCTCAGTGTGCATGTTTCTTGTCATCGTGCTGCTCTCTCAGGGTCGGGAAGGTGGTTTTAGAGAGTGGCACACTGTTTTAGCTGAGGGAGGGTAGATCCTACTTTCCATAAGAGGAGGATTCTAATGTTGGTCCTGTGGCTCTGTCCTCATCAGGAAATTTTCACAGAGAAATGCTGGATATATTTCTCAGAGAAAAAGTAGGCTCTAGTATATTATTTAGAATCGTACAAAAGCAAAGAAACAAACATAGTATTAATAATGGTTATCACTGGCTCATGCTGTTTCAAGCAAATTTTTCCTCCATACTTTTTTTTTTTTTTAAATTGTCGTAGTGGAAATTATAAACTATTTTCTAATTGGGAGGACAGTAAATATGAGGGGAGTCCATGGCTTAGGGATTGGCAGATAGGAGGCTGGACAAAAATGCAGAAAAAGAGGTGGCCCATGGAAAAGAAAAGTTTTTTTTGTTTGGTTTGTTTAACTGAAATGTTGCTTTAGGCCAGCTCCATTCACTAGGAAGGAAATTTTTTTTTTCCTTCCTCTGTTCTCTGGATTCAGAATTTAGGCTAGTGATATCCAGGTCTATTCAGCTGCATTGCAGATTAAATTAGCTCTTTTTTTTTAATAGCATTTTTAAAAATACTGTCATCTTAAATTCCAGTCAGTTTAGAAGGTAACTTTGTTTTAAGGGCGAGACTGGGAAAACAATGTGTCTTTTGTTCTCTTCTCTAAGCCCAGTGAGTAGCATAGGGTCCAGCACACATGAGGGCTCAATAAATATTTGTGGAATGAATTAATGAGTAAATGAGTAAATGAACATCTCCCCAGCAGAAGCACACAGATATCCTGTGGGTGAGTGCCCTACCTTGGCTCTAAAACTTGAAAGGTGGAAACACTCACAGCCCCCTCTTAGTCGCCATTAAGAGCGCTCCAGATCCAAAAAAATAACTGGCCGGACTCAGAACTAAGAAGTCAGAATCTTGGCCTGATGTCGAACAGAACTGATACTTAGTGGTCATCTAGTCCCAGAGTGGAAGCTAACTTGTAATGTTTTCATTTCACTAGCCAGGGCATGCCTGTACTTAAAAGTTACCATCCTTTCTTTCCTCAAGAATGCTAAATACCTAATTTCCTCTCTTGGTATACTTGTGCTGAAATACATGTCCTCTTTTATTCACTTATTCAATACCTATTTGATGATGGTCTCCTATGTGTGAGGCATTGATGACTTTGCATAAACAGTGATGAACAAAGAACTTACAGTTCGTGATGTAAATGAAAACAGCGATGTATGCCACTCACTGACATGAACAGTTGACCTGGGAGAATGGACTGCTTGCAGGTTAGAGCTTAAAGCTGCTCTACTGAGCAAAGGCCTCTTCTCTTCCCAGCAATTTGCTTTCTCATTGTAACAACTCAATATGTTTCTCCACCTGCAGAAAAATTAAACTGTCTCTTATAAATGTGTGGGCAAAGTTTTTATATCTGTTCTCTTCCTGACAGGTGAACTTTAACGAGCCCTTATCCATGCTTCAGCGCCTTACTGAAGATCTGGAGTACCATGAGCTATTAGACAAAGCTGCAGAATGTGAGAGCTCTCTAGAACAGCTCTGTTATGTTGCAGCTTTTACCGTGTCCTCCTACTCCACTACTGTCTTCCGTACCAGCAAGCCATTCAACCCACTCCTTGGGGAGACCTTCGAGCTGGACAGACTAGAGGAGAATGGGTACCGATCCCTCTGTGAGCAGGTAAAGGTGTCTCAGGACTGTGAGACATTGCCTTTTTGAAGAAAGTCTTGATTTTTTTTTTTTTTTTTTTTGGTTGCTCACCCCGCCCTTGGGTGTTGTGTTTACCAAAATTCTAGGCCCTGTCATCCCAGACTCCCTTCTTCAGGGCTTCCGCACCGTTGTGGGTGTAAAAATGTCAAGTATGAATTTCAGGGGTTCATCACCAGTTAATAGGCGATATCTTTTCCTTCTCCTTTTTTCCTTCTTAATTTGAACCACTGATTTCTTCAAGGTGAGTCATCATCCCCCTGCTGCTGCACACCATGCTGAATCCAAAAATGGCTGGACATTGCGTCAGGAAATCAAAATCACCAGCAAGTTTCGAGGCAAATACCTCTCCATTATGCCCCTAGGTAAGGCCACTGTATGTGTAAGAATTAGTGCCCCCGGGACGAAGGCTTCCCTGGCACGGCAGAGGAGGGCGCTGGTTTAGGAGTCAGGGGACCGGAACTCTGGTGTGGGCGCTGAACCTTACTAGTTGGCTCTGTATAAATCATTTAACTTCTCAGCTGTCGAACGAGTGAGGAGGCATGAGACTCCAAGGACCCATCCAATCATAACTTTTTTTGTCTTTTGGCTATATTTAATGCATCTTTAAGTACAGCTTAAAAATATAAATTCTGATGGGCAAAAAAAATAAAATTCCACCCCTTAACTAGTGTTGTTTCTTCCATTACCCTAGCAATCAGGTTCTCTGTAAGTCAAAACTCTTGTGACTACAGGGTTAGGTTTCTCAGCTATACCTCCCTCTTCTCTCCTTTCTCCCCTCTCTTCCTCTACCAGACGGATTAGGTATTATTTATATAATGGCTGAGCCCCAGGTAAAATGAAACTTTATTTTAAAAGATGTTAATGGATTACAAGTTAGTTTTGCAGCAAGAACAAAAAGACCAGGCCTGGGAATAGGAATCCTACTATGCGATGTTAGATAGTCTGTGTTTTAAGGAAAACGAGATTGTTCAGAACGGGTAGCAGAGATTCTCGATACTCTGTTGAACTAGAGCCGCCACATTTGGTCATTTGTGTCCTGAAGAGTGAATGCTGGCCTGTGGAAAAAGAAGCACAAAGCCGACAGAGCCCAAGTAGCTCTCTACAGACAGTAACTGCCCGAGCCCCAATGCCTTCCCATTCCCTGGTCCTGGACTTTCAGGGGCCTAGCCGCAGTGCTTGCTTATGGCGCTGTAGTCGTCCCCTTTCACGGAGTTCTCTCAGAGACACAAACTAGAGTGGCTAGAGTGCAAACCAGAAGGTAGCCAGAAAACAAATCCAGGGGTGTTTGTAATCACAAAAGGAGAAAAGAAGCTGGGGTGTTAATTCTGTCACTTCATGGTTAATACACAAAAGGCCCTTAGGTCTCCTTTGGAAAGAAGACCAGGTGATTTTGGTCTTGATCTTTACTGAGAACCTTTAAAAAGGTTCTCATTGCTTAATTATCTTTGAAGCTAAGAATCTCAGAAGTATTAAGAGTAGTAAATACCTGTGATGTTCATACCTAATTTTCAGAACTAGGGCATCAGTGATCATATTGTAGTATGACTTGCACCTCAGAGGCCACCTGAGGATCTCTAAAGAGACAGATTATATTTAATTCTAAGGGGAGTTGATATACATTTTTAAAATAGCAGTAAACCTACTTTACCAGTGATGTGCTATACGTTATAATTTGATTAATCTGGAATTCTTTGAGGGGTAAGTAACCATATGAACATGGTCTAATTGGTAGATCTGATTTTTTAGAGTTAAAAAAATATCTTTGCTGGGATTCCATTCTTACGGCTATTTAAGGATTTGGGTCACTGGGATGTGTTGTCATAAGTCCCTCCATCTGTTAGGTGCTGGGTACCTGCTGTGTACCAGGGATGGGAAATGTAAATGAACAAAATAAAGATTCCAGGCTTTATAAGGAACTTGAATGAAGAACTGAAATAGTGACAGAAACTGAACACAAAAGTATAAGGAGTGGTATTTCCAGACATTAGCCCTGGCAATGGCTATATTTAAAACTTTTAGACCAGTGACTTGGAAGGAGAATCATTCAGTGGAATTTTCACATTTGCAGTGGCACTTAACTTCCAGAGGGGACACTGTCAAGCCAAATGATGTCACTGAAGAAAGATACGTGAATAGGGTTGTGAGTGAAGGCATATAGATTTATTTTTTATTGTTCAATTACAATCGTCCCCATGTTTCCGCCATTGCTCTCCCCTGCCTTGCCTACTCCCCCTTTCCACATTCAATTCTCCCTGTTGTCCTTGTCTGTGGGTCCTTTATACATGTTCCCTGACTTGCCCCTTCCTCTTCTTTCCCCATTATCTCCCTCCCACCTCCCCTCTGGGCACTATCAGTTTGTTCTTTATTTTCATGTCTCTGACTGTATTTTGCTCACTTGTTTGTTTTGTTGATTACTTTCCATTTATAGGTTAGATCATATGGTATTTGTCTTTCACTGCCTGGCTTATTTCACTTAGCGTAATATCGCCAGTTCCATTCATGCTGTCATGAAGAGTACAAGTTCCTTCTTGGGCAAATAGATGTTTTTTGAGGTGGTGGCAGGGGTTCTGATTCTCCGTGTAAAGTAGACTCAACAGATGAGAACTCTTGCAATCTGGAAGGAAGAATGTTTCTAGAAAATTTGCAAAACGATAAAGATCATGGATTTTCTCATCAAATACCAGGGTATAGGGCCTAGGTTATAACCTTGAAGTTTAAAGAGACACATTTAAATAACATTATTTTATAGTTCTGGAGTCCTCTAACCCAAGAAGAATCACAATTTGAGAATATGAATGAAACAACCATTAAGCCTGTTGAACTCTTTGTCAGTGACACTGCTGGGCTCCATGGACCTTGAATTTGGCGCCCTGAGTGATATTTTAGTCAAAAAATCCCCCTCATGTATTTTATCCATTCTTCCAGTTTCTAAGTTTTTTGATTAGAATGTTTAATTAATTTACATTTATTATAATTGCTGATTAGATAGGGCTGACATCTGCTATTTTGCATTTGTTTTTTGTACATCCTGTGTCTTTTTTGTCCCTCTAGTCCATTAGTGCCTTCTTTTGTGTTAAGTAGATTTTTTTTTTTTTAGTTTACCATATTGGTTCTCTTGTTATTTCTTTTGCTGTATTTTTTAGAGGTATTTTCGTAGTGGTTATCCTGGGCATTACAATTAACTTCCAATAATCTAGTGGAGATTAATACCAATTTAATTTCAGTTGTATACAAAAACTTTCCATGCATTTGAATCTATTACTTCTCCCTCCTTTGTGCTTTTGTTCTCATACAAGTTGTATTTTTTTACACTGTAATTCCATTAACAGAAGTTTTTTGTGGTTTTTTAGGTTTCGTTTGTTTATTTTTAGAGAGGGGAAGGGAGGGAGAAAGAGAGGGAGAGAAACATCAGTGTGTGGTTGCATCTCACATACCCACTGCGGGGAACCTGGCCTGCAACCCAGGCATGTTGCCCTACACTGGGAATTGAACAGGCAGCTCTGTGGTTCACAGGCTGGCACTCAGTCCACTGAGCCACACCAGCAAGGGCCCATCAACATAGTTTTACAACTGTTGCTTTATGCAGTTTTCTTTTAACTCATACAGGAGAAAAAAAAGAGTTGTAAGCAAGAAATACATTCATACTGTCTTTTATGTAGTTTCATTGTAGTTTTCTTTTTTGGTCTCTTTATTTGTGAATGTAGAGTTAGGTTACTATCTAGTGACCATTTCAGCCCGAAGGACTTCAGTATTTCTTGGAGGACAGATCTGCTGTGCATTCTTTCAGGTTTATCTGAGAATGTCTTATGTTCTCCTTTGTTTATGAAGAATAGGTTTGCTGGATATAGAATTCTTGATTTGACAGTCTTTTTCTTTCAGCATTTTGAATGTGTCATCCCACTGCCTTCTGGCCACCATAGTTTCTCATAGTCTTATTGAGGATCACTTACACGTAATGCATCACTTCTTCTTACTGCTTTCAAGATTCTCCTTGCCCTTGTCTTTGAATAGTTGGATAATGATGGATTTCGGTGTAGCGCTCCTTGAGTTTATCCCACATGGAGCTTCTTGGATGTGCAGATTAAAGTGTTTGTCACATTTGGGGAATTTCTGGCCTATATTTCTTCAGCTGCTCCGACTGTTATAACCACCTCAGGTAGTTGCTGTGTTAAACCATCATTTGCCACTGATGGTTTTGATAATCACCCCAGGGAAAAGGCTGTTTGAAGTGACCGGGGGCTGAGTCAGGTCAAATAAAGGTAGGCTCTATGAGTGGGAGTTTATATAGGTCAGGTAATGACAGTTCTTTGAAGATGGGGCTTTTGGGGAGTTTCATACTTGCTGGTGAAGTGTGAGACTCCCCAAAACTGTTTGCTAGGCTGCTTGCTGGGTTTTAAGGCTTCTGCCAAGCTAGAAAGAGGAGGGCGGGAATAGGGCAGGTTAAAATGCCTGCCACAAAGCTCATTTTTCTTACTGAGATTCAGTCATTTTTCTTGAATAAATGCTTCTTAAGTTATTGTAAGCCTTTGGTTAATTTCCAGAATTCTGAAAAAGTTGATTCTGATCATTTTTGCTAGCGTTCTTATTGATTTTACTGAGGAGCAGATATAGGGAAGTCCTTACGACACCATTCTGAACGTGGCTATCTTCCCTTTCATACCTTTTAAATGGCCCTGTTTTTCAATCTTTAACTTAATGTCAACCTTTCAAAACACAAATATTATATACAGTCATAGGATATTTTTTTTCCCACTATCCCTGTGAGCTGGAAGGGAACCTCTGTAGAACAACAGGTACATCATCAAGGTGAGAAATAGGGTTATGGCATTGGGCTATACAGATGTTCTGACCTTATTTTAAACTTCAGCTATGGCAGTCTCTAGCTGTGTGACCTTGGGCAAGTTACTTGAGCTCTTGGAGCTCCAAGTTTTCATTGGTAAAATGGGGATGTGGTAGGCTGAATAAGGCCCCCTAAGATATGTCTACATTCTAATTTTGGAGCCTATGAATGTGTCACTTTACGTAAGGAACTTTGTAAGTGGGGTTTAACTTAAGGATCTCAAGATGAGGAGATAATCCTGGATTATTCTTTGGGTTCAATATAATCACAGGGGTTTTTATAAGAGGGAGGATGTAAGATCAGAGTCAGTGACAACAGAAATAAGACACTTGAGTCATGCTGGGGAAAGTCTGCAAGCCAAAGAATGCAGGTGACCACTAGGAGCTGGAAAGGCAGAAAAATTGATTCTCTCCTAGAGCCTTCAAAAGGAACACAGCTCTTCTGACACTTTGATTTTAGACTTCTGACCTCCAGAACTGTAGAGCATAAATTGTGTTGTTTTAAGCCACTAAGTTGTGGCCATTGGTCCCAGCAGCAATAGGAAACAAATGTAGGGGATAATAGAGCCTGCAGCTAAGGTATCAACAGATATTTGAGTGTCACTGTATGCCAGAAAATATTCTAGGTGCTATGGGTACAGTGGCGAACAAAAGCCACTTTGCCCTCATTTAGCTTACATTCTTTTCTTAAGTAAACAAAAAAGTAAATATATAAATAATTGAATTGTGTATGTGGTAAGCCTATGAAGAAAATAATACAGAGGTAGAGGTTAATGAGAAACAAGTGTGTGTATGGTTCCTTGGATAGGGTAGTCAAGGAAATTGTCTCTGACAAGGTTGCATTTGAGCCCTGGCTGGTGTGGCTCAGTGGAATGAGTGCTGGCCTGTGAACCAAAGGGTCGCTGGTTCAATTCCCAGTCAGGGCACATTCCTGGGTTGCAGCTACGGCAGGTCCCCAGTAGGGGGCACACGAGAGGCAGCCACACATTGATGGTTCTCTCCCTCTCTTTCTCCTTCCCTTCCCTCTCTCTAAAGATAACTAGATAAAATCCTTTTTTAAAAAGTTACATTTGAACAAAGACCTAAGGAACAAGAAGAAACCAACCAAAAGTTGATTTGAGGGAGAGTGTTCCCAGCAGAGAAAACCCCCAAGATAAAGGCCCTGAGTGGGTGGCAAGTGTAGCATGTTTGAGAACAGTGAGGCCACAGCAGCTGGTTCAGCGTGAGCCAGGAGGGACGTGGATGAGTTGAGAGGGTTTTATTCCATTTGCAGTGGGAAGTCACTAAGAGATTTTTCTCAGGGTGGTACATTGATATGCCATGTTTTAAACAGATCGTTTTGACTAGAGACTTTAAGGGGGCCAAAGTGGAAGCTGTGACACCTAAAAGAAGTGGCTCTAGAGGTTCTGACAAGAGGTGATGGCAGTGCAGACCGCAGTGGTGGTGGAAGAGGTGTTGAGCAAGAGAGTAAAGCTGTACTTTGAAGATGGCTGTGAAGGTTAAATGAGATACTATATGAGGAGAAGCCAGCACGGTGTCCCGTGTACAGTAGTGCTCTCAGCAGGGTTGCTATTGTTATTGTTCCTGTCATTGTCATCATCATCGTCACTACAGCTGCAGCTCCCAGGGCAACTTTAATCTTTGGTGCAAAAAAGGCACACTTAAGCCACTGTGTGTCCTTTTCACTAGTGGTTACAGAGGGTGCTTAACGTTATACCATTCCTGGAATTGACTGTATCATTGACTATACACACACACACATACATATATACAGCCACATTTTGGTGTGCATTATACACAGGATCATTGTGCCTATGGTATGTAATCATTATTCCCATGTATAATGCACATCCTTATTTTTCTCTAAAAAGTTAAGACCAAAGCATGCATTATACCTGGCAAAATACAGTATATATGTACATATATATGTATATATCTGATTCAAAATAAAAAATATATATCTTTAAATTTTTTTAAAAATTTTGATTCTTTAGTCACCTCTCTTCAAACAACTAACTGGCTTTTGTTTGTTATTCAGTGGGAATTAGCTCAAAGGAACAGGAGAGGACTGTATCTACTGAGCGCCTATTGTGTTTCAAGCATGTTACTGTGTAAATAAACAGATATTTATGGCACGAGATGTGGTAACCCCAAGTTTACAAATATATAAAACTGAGGCCTAGGAAAGTTAACAACTTCCGCAGGGTGTAGTATTGTAATGCAGTTCTGATGCTAACCACCCAGCTTACTACCAACCACATAAGTTAAAAGCACAGACCCCAGTAAGTCTGCCCTTACTTCAGATGTCAGCCACAAGTTTGGAGGTCCCCATGCCACCTGCACATAAATTCAAAATTACCCACAACTCTTTCAGGTTCACTAATTTGCGAGAATGACTCACAGGACTCAGGAAAATGCTATACTCGTTATTATAGTTTTATTATAAAGGGTACAAATCAGGACCGGCCAAACAAAGACGTACACAGGGTGAGGTCTGGGAGGGTCCTTCCATGCCCCCTTCCCATGGATTTGGGGCACAGGACCCTCCTGGTACATTGATGTGTTCACCAACCAGGAAGCTCCACCAACCTCCATTGTCCAGAGATTTTATTGGGATTTCATTATATACGCACGATTGATTGAATCATTGGCCACATGATTGAACTTGATATCCAGGCCTCCTTCCCTCCTGGAGGAAAGGGAATATCATTTCCAGGAGGTCAGGAGGTCCAGCCCTTATCAAGTAACTCAAAGCTCCAACTTTCCAATTAGACAGTTGGTCTTTCTGGCCCGCCTGCATCCTGAACCGTCTTGTTAGCGTAGGCCTTCCAGGCGCCACCACGGTGGCTACTAGCGTAAACTTCCATGGCCCCGTGAATACTAAATACACTACTGTCAGTTGGGAAGTTCCAAGGATGTAGAGGTTTCTTCCCAGGAACCATGGACAAAGAGCAGACAAATTATTTTACAAGATGTACAGGGTCATACATCTGATGAGTAGTCGAGCCAGGACTTAATCCAGTTGTGTCTGATTCCAAAGTCACGGGTCTGTGACTCCTCCTTTTTATTGTTAAGGCCCTTAGATAAAGTGGTTTGCTTAAGGTCACACAGCTAATTGCTAAAAATAGGACCTAGCCCCCGGAATTAACCACCAACGTAAGCTACTTGCCACAACGCAATTTTATTTTTTTCATGTTGGGGCAGAATTGACCTGTTCCTGTAAATTTTGCAGCTGGCCCGATGGGCACAGTTGGAGAAAAGTTTGGGGTTTTTGCTCTCACTGTTATTTCTACAATTGTACACGGTTGCTTTCTAGGTGAGCTGTATCATTTTTTAGTGTTTGTCATCAGTTATGTCTTCCTGATAAATTTTAAAATCAGGTGAAACAATTCAGTCAGTGGTTCCATCATTTAAGAAGGTTATGAATTCCTTTTTGACTTACTGTTTTCCTCTTAACAGTAAGAAATATCCAAAGAAGAAAATCAATCCATTGTTACTTCTTGCTAACGTTGCTATTTATTTTAAGTATTAGGCTTAATTTATGTGCCTCTCTCTGCTTCCAGGCAGCATCCACTGTATTTTCCATGCGTCTGGGCACCACTACACTTGGAAGAAAGTTACCACAACAGTGCACAACATTATCGTGGGCAAGTTGTGGATAGACCAGGTGAGCAAAAGTGCCCGACATGCTCCTGAAGCCCCAGGCACTGTTACTGGCTTAGGAGTTTCTCCTGAGGAATTTGTCTTAGCCAGTAGCCCCACCTTAACCTCCCTGAGATTCTATACCACAAATTATTATTTATAAATGACCAACTTATAACATTAGATGACTACTGGGACCGTTGGGCTCTACGAAGGATACAAGAAAATTAACACGGCTCTCACTCCTCATCCCTCCGTTATTCATTAGACGTTTACTACCAGCAGCGCACTAGGTCCAGGGGATACAAAGTCAGATGAAACATTGTCCTTCAAAGACTTACTGTATCATTGGAGAGGTGTGACAAATATATGTAGGTTGAAAAGTATTTAACAAAATACTCTTGCCCTGATTTGTGTGGCTCGGTTGGGTGTCATTCCCCAAAGCGAAAGGTCACCAGTTCAATTCCCGGTCCGTGCACATGCCTAGGTTGTGGATTCAGTTCCGGTCAGGGTGCATGCAAGAGGCAACTGATGGGTGTTTCTCTCCCTCTCTTTCTCCCTCCTCTCTCTAAAAAAATAAGTATTTTTAAAAATACTCAAGTGGAAGAGGTGTATTAAGACACCTGTTTAATTGTCAATATGCTCTTAAGACAATGATTGAAGTAAATTCAGAAAGAGAGCGAATACTATCTTGAGCTGTCAGGAAAAGCTCCATGGCAGGTGTGGGAATTAAGCTGCCTCTTAAAGTATGGTTTGGGATTCAGAAGGTAAGAGGGAAAATGAACTGCATGAAGCATAGAAAGGTCTGCCATATGTAACCTTGAAATTGTGAGTGGAACACTTTGATTTAAGCACAGAATTCCTCACGGGGTCCAGTGAGGATTGGTTTGGAAAAGTACATTACTATGTGAATATCAGTATGTGTGCCAAAGAGCAAGTCATGCTACCTAACATCTTACACGCAATTTTTTAAAAAAGTCATTTGGTGTTTATCCCAACTGGGACACCGGGGTTACAGAGGGATTTCATAGCATCTTGAGGTTGACTAAGACTTGAATCTTAAGCAGGGAGTGCTACAATATAAGATTGAAAAGTAAGAATTATACGGCATGAGGTTGGCAGGTATTCAAGGCATCTGGTCTAATAAAACTAAACCATAATTCTTTTCATTTTTTTATAGTCTGGTGAAATTGATATTGTAAATCACAAGACAGGAGACAAGTGCAATCTTAAATTTTTTCCTTATAGCTACTTTTCTCGGGATGTACCAAGAAAGGTAAGAGAAGTTGGAGTTAAAATCTTTTCATTTAGTGTGTATCCCTTAGAAAGCTCACTCTTGGGGCTGGGATGGATGGATGGATGGATAGAGAGGGAGATGATAGATAGATAGATAGATAGATAGATAGATGGGTAATCTAAATATACATATCTCCTAAATATATATACATATGATGATCAAATAAAAAAGAAGAGATAAAGGAGAAAGTCAGCAAGAAAGGGGACTATATTGCATTACTAAACCAAATCCTTCTTTTTTCTGGGAAAGGCAATAAGAAAGTAAAAGTCAAGAGTAATGAGAGACAAAATTGGAAACACAGAGGAAGGCCTAACAAAAGGATTACAGGAAAAAAACATGGGTACTTGGACCCTGCCAAGGAGTCAGAGAGCTGTGTTGCTCCACAGTGCAGTTGTGCCATGAGTTTTGATGGGAGAGTGAAAAATAGAGGTTTAAATCTGTTTGTGGCTCTCTCTGAATTCTGGAGAGAAGAAAATACCATAATCCTGAGTACCAGTCAGATCCTTTTCCTACATAGTATCATTGCAACAAAAATTCCTGAATAACAAAATGATGATGAAACCTCCAACTCATGCTTCACTTATTTTAAGCAGCTTAAGAAAATTTAACAAATAATTTGGATGACTCCATGATGTTTGTCAGAACAGGATTTAACTAGTATTCACCCCAGGACTTTGGTTTCCAGAAGAGCTAGGTAAGCTAACCCACAGTGACCGCGGTCTGTATTCCAAGGCCCTGCTCTCCATCCTTGTAGGTGACAGGGGAAGTGAAAGATCGATCAGGAAAAGTTCACTTTGTCCTGCGGGGGACGTGGGATGAGAAAATGGAACGTTCCAGACCAGCGACTGGGGATAATGGGGGCGATGCTCGACAGAGAGGCCACGAAGCAGAGGAGAGCAGGGTCACGCTGTGGCAGAGGAACCCTTTACCGTGAGTATCAGCGCGTGCTGCCCAGACCCTCTGTGACCTCAGCCTTGGAACAGTACCGACGACTTCTTTGCATTGCTTCCCACTTCATTATGTGAGGGATTGAGCAAGAGAAATCGAAGCTTTAGAGAGATTGCCAGAAGGTTGTCATTGTGTCGTTGGACTTTATCCCAAGAAAGTTCAAACTAATCACACCATATCTGCCAAACCATGTTCGGTGCTTCCTATAGGTCCTTTGGATTGTGGTTCAGATTGGGTATTCTATATTTGAGAACAAAACTGTTCAGAAGTGGCTAGAGGAGACAGATGCCTACCAGTTGCTAACAGTTTAGCCTGAAGGCCCAGCACCGATATAAAGCGTCCTGAGATAATATACAGGACTTTGGAAATAAATTACAACAGAAAGCATTTTTCTGTCACCATTTACTATGTTCACTCTGTAGTAAGAGCCAAGATTATCTCAGAATGAGGTTTAAATAAAGCAGACGAAACAGGACTAAGGAATTCTCAATTACAGATTGTTTCCTTTTTCCTAATGAGTGTCTCTCTGCTTTCAGCTGAGTACAGCACAAGCCCAGAAAACTGGAATTGAGTGGTGCTGGGAGAAGACGAGGAGAGGTTCAGTGTGGGTCTCTTAAGTCGGGGAAGGTGCCACGGTTCCTGAGTCTGTCCTTTCGTAGAACAGCCTGGTCATGTCCTCTTTCAGCAGCTTGCTTCATCGTGGCTCCTTAACTAGCTAGGACCTGGGCTCTGGCGTGAGCCTTTTTCTTTCTCATCCTTTGCTTTCAGGAATAATGCAGAAAACATGTACTACTTCTCAGAGCTTGCTCTGACTCTCAATGCCGAGGAGCCGGGCACTGCCCCCACAGACAGCCGATTACGGCCCGACCAGAGACTGATGGAGGAAGGGAAGTGGGATGAGGCAAATGCTGAGAAGCAGCGCTTGGAAGAAAAACAAAGACTTGCCAGAAAGAGGAGAGAAGAGGAAAGAAAAGCGAAAGACACAGACAGAAAGGATGGTAACAAAGCAGAAGACACAGACAGAAAGGATGGTAACACACCTGTCCTCTTCTTGATTTCTTCATATATGGAGAATACCAACGTGTTTGCAGCTCTAATTCTGTTTTTTCTTTGCCCCCTTTCCCTTTTAGGCACACACAGCGATCCCTATAAGGCACTGTGGTTTGAGCTGAAGGGAGACCCTGTTACCAAGGAGTTAACCCATATTTATAGGGGAGGATACTGGGAGTGTAAAGAAAAACAGGACTGGAGCTCATGCCCGGACATTTTCTGAACAACAGTAAAGAAAAGGAGGAGGAGCCAAAAGCCAAGGGGACAGAGGATGCACGGGAAAGCTGGGGATTCCCTTCCCGAGGGCTTTCCTCAAGTTTGTCTGTCTTAACCAATCATTTTTTCCAAATCAATCACCAGAAGCAGACACCAGTGGTGGTGATTGGCTGGTTGCCTTAGCTGATTGAAACTGAAATCAACATAATAGATACCTGTGTTTGTAAGGGAGAGGTTTAGTGGCTGAAAGGTAGTGTTGCTCCACTTCTGTAGAGGCAGGTGTTCTTGGCTCTTCCTTCTCCCTCTGCTCCCGTTCAAGATGATGCCGTCCAGCCTCCCCCATAGTGCCCAGCTCAGCCAAGATCTACACCAGATTAAGATTCAGGGGCATTTTGGTGCTGTTCAGAGTAAGAGCTGGGTTTAGAAGTTCTTCTAAAAAGAAACATGTTAGACTCACCAACAGAGGCATCATGCATGATTGCGGTGGAGCTTGGGATGGGCGTTGTGAAATGTGTTCACCAGTGGGGTCCGTGTCATGGGGATGTCCATGCGTGGATAACTACGTCTTGGGACACTGCCCGGGAGACTTGTCCTGTAAGGTCGGAACATTGAGTTACACTCTTGGACATTTCTGTCTTCACTCACGTAAAACACCTTTCTGCTGTTCTCCATCTCCTGGGATCGCAACCGAGGCCGCTTTGGTGGTTGGTAGGGTTGCGGTGGTCTCACAAAGGGGCTTTACGGACGTGCTCAGGCAGAGAACTTCTGAGAACACAGGCAGGACCGAAAAAGACTGCCGGCCACTTTCGCTTTCCTGCTTCCTCCTCACCCCCATCCGTCATTTCCTTTCTCACTTCGCTGCTCTCTCTCCGCACGATACCAGTTTGGGTGTGTGCCCACTGTGGAGCAAAACGTCCTGCCCCCTTCTGATCTCCTGCAGAATTTGAGAGAAGCGGTTTACCTGGGGTGAAAGTTGTCACCATCTCTCAAGCCCCATGGACTGGAGCCACCCATGAAATAATGTGTTAAAAATCTGTATATTATACATATGTAGAGAAAAATCTAATTTTTTGTTTGATTTTCCTCCTTCCTATTAAGAATCTTGGGTTTTTGATACTTCCTATCTCCCTGGGACTCTCGGATCTGTGGATGTGGACTGGAGCCTCCTCCGCCTTCCACCCTGTAGGGGCGGACTCGTTCAGAACCTGAGCAGGGTTGTGCCCGGCTGTTACTGAGCTCGGCTGCTCCCTATGGTTTCTGTCATGGGTGCCCGCTGCTGCCTGAAGTCTGCTCTCCTAAATACCTGACTCTTGAAAACGAAATCCTCACCTCCTTCCTGCCTTTCTTTTGTCAGGAGGAGTGGGGTCAGGAGGACAGTTTCCAGATTGATTCTGCCTCTGTCCAAATCGCAGCTCACACAGCTGACACCCAAAACAACTCTTCCTGGGATGTGGGGCTGAGAGCAGCATCACATGGGATGGGCAGGAGAACCCCTGCTGGGCTCTGGCTTCCCTTTTTCTGTATTTGTTTGAGTTGTCTTCTTCCGAAATCTCACCCCCATGCAGCCCACCCTTGGTTGAGGATCACAAACTGAGGTGCCTTCCTTGTATGCCTTTTGTTAGTGTTTTTTCGTTTCTGTTCCGTAACTGCTGAGCCTCAGCCAGTGTGGGCCCTGGGGGGCAATGTCATTCCAGAGGAAGCCAGCCCTCCAGGGAAGCTGGATTTCTACTGGGTGAGCCAGTGCTTCGTCCCTCCTCCCTTCCCAGCCAGATGGACTTGAGAGGGGGCAGCTGCTGGGGAATTTCCTCCTAAGAACCTGATTCCCCACAGAAGCAAGGGATTGTCCTGGGGCTGCTTGCAAGGAGGCCCAAAAGGTGAAGGTCTGATGACTCAGGGGCCTTAGACTGAGGATCCCCAACTAAACTGAACCTCCCTGCTGCTTGCCTCTTCCTCCGCCCTCTGCACTACATTTCCAGCCCGATCCCCAGTCAGGTTCCTGCAAATGGAAGAAGCTTTGAGTCCTTCAGGTGAAATAGTCACATCAAAACAAAACTATATATATTTTCAGTTTTTTTGCCTTATTGTTTTTTCCAAGAAAACCACTAAATTAAATAATTTTTAAAAAGTCATATTGTTTGTCTGATTCACTTCTGGGTAGGAAGTGGTGGTAGGAGGTGGGGAGCTGACCTGGTGGTGCTTTGTCCTTGGGAATCGGATATTGATCTTCACAGGAAGCAGAGAAAAACTGGCCACGGGTTTCCAGATGTTGCAACGGTCCAGCAACGTTCTGTAGGACCCGGGAGCAGAAGAGCAGTTTTAACAGCCCCCAGGGCTTCAGTGTAATACGGTAGTGTCTCACCTTGGTGGAGGGGAGTAGTTTGTAGTGGTACTGATACTGTGCCTGTTTCACCTCAAAAATAAAAATTGAACTTCTCTTGCCTGTTCAGGTTCTTAAGTTCTCAGCTATTTCGTATAGGGATTCAAATCTGTATTTTGAAACATAAGTAAGTGGGTATTGATTTTAAAGACCTTAGCAGGAAAAGCAGTGAAAATGCTTCTTTAGGTTCACTGTGGAGTTCAGGGTGGAGCAGAGTAATCAATCCGAGGGGCCTGGAGAGGCCTCCGTCGCAGAGAGCAAGCCCTGGGCCTGCCCTGTGGAAGGCCTGCACGTTTGCTGAGCTGCTGCTTCTGTGTCCAGATGCTGTGATAGGGACTCAGGATTGTCTGGCTAATGCTTAAGCCATTTTAAGGGGTAAGTGTTACAATCATCCTGTTGAATATGAAGAAAGGCACAGAAACAACGAGCAAATTCACTCAAGGTCACATAGCTGAATAGTCACCTGGTTGGAATTCAAGGCTGAGTTTGTTTAACCCTGGAGATTGTGACCCTCCAACCTTGTGTTCTGGGAGAAACCGGGTTGGAAGGCAGCTGATAAAGATCACATCATGCAGACATGCACATCTCTGTTTCTAGAGGCTTAGTACTGTGGATAGTACCGTTTGGGGGCTTCCACCTGTAGGAAGGAGCCGCCTTGAAGTTGAGCCTTCAGGCTCCTTGATGTCTCAAGGCTCTCGTGTCCACAAGATGAGCTATGTTGTCAGAGTTTTGCTAGCCTGGCTCTGGAAAGGCCACTTCTCTGTTCAAATCATCTGCCTGATTCCCAATGCTGGGCTTGATCTAAGTTTCGGCAACACTTTTTTTTTTTTTCCTGACAAGCTGAAAACCATCACAGTAGACATTTGTTAGCTGCATGCTGCAATCTTGACTACCACTGTGGTACATAATCTCCACTAGGAGCAAATATATGTGAAACATTTTAATAATCCCTCCTTTAGTCCTTCGGTGGGCTGCTGTGACGTGGGTTGGGATAGGGGTCCACCCGTACTCACGATTCAAAAATATCACTCAGCAAAATCGCAAATTACTATTTTCAGGGACCTCTGAAGCCCACGAAAATATCAAACCTACACTTTCCCAAGGATATGCTTTACTTCCAGCAAGATAAGTGAAAAACAACATACAGTGTAGTCCTAAAAGGAAGCATAGAAAAATCTGTGGAATCTATTCACTTAAGATGTACGCCTTGTAAAACCCTGGGATTGTTAGGAAAATTTAGAGCTTGCTTCTAAAAGTTTATGAAGCTTTTGCCCTGTAGTCTGCTGCCCTGTGGGAAGCATTACAAGCCTTCATAGCTTTCTCCTCCAAAACTGCTAAAATAATCTGGCTGTATTCTCTTCAGACTTTCCTCTTTTCAAGTTGAGTGCCCCTCTTAGTTCACGGCCATCCCTCAGGGGAAGGAGGTAGGGTGGCCAGATGAGGAATCTTTAAAGGTAAGAGCTAAAGAGCTCAGAACCTTCCATCTGTATAGCCTTGCAGAGGTCACATCTGAGTTGGAACGGGTGATTTTCCAAGTTGGTGAAGAATCAGCTGACCCTGAAACACAGCTAGGAATTCATTGAACATGTACTCCAGCCTGTTAGGTAACATGCATTAGGGATGCAAATGGCAATCACAATCCAGTATGGTAAGTGGCATGAAAGCACTGTAGAGGGGCAACCAGCCTATAGGAATGCGGAGGGTGGGCATAGAGACATGTCAGAGATAGTTTGTAGAACTTAGGAGGTGGTATCGAAGTTTAGAGTTGCATTTTTTAATGGAGGTTAGGCGAAGGGTAGTGTCAAAAATGCTGCATGAACAAAGTTGAGCAAAGTCAAGGCGAGCATCCTGAGTGTGGGTGGCTGCATGAATGATTTGAGGTTAGAATCAAGGAGAGAGCACTGATACGACGCTGAAGAGCGGTGAAGTCCGATTTAGGAAAGTCTTTATGTACCATGTAAAGAAGCCTTGGTTTTTGTTTTCAGCTAGGGAGCCAGTGCAGGATTTTTAAGCAGGATGATGGATTCCAGTGTGGGAACTGATTTATAGGTAGGAAGATCCATTAAGAGGTTGGAAAAGATTTGAGAATGAAAAGAAGTGGAGGGATTCCAGGAATGTTCAACTGAAATGACTGGCACTTGGTGCAATTGTGGGTGAAGAACAGAAGGTGGGAGGGAGGAAGGAATTTGTATTTCTCTGGCGTGGGATACTTGAATGGAAGGTGGTAGTAAGATAAACAAGTTTAGAAGGAAGTATGAGTTCATTTTGGGACATTCTGAGTTGGAGGTGCCAGTTGAGAGGTTGAGTAAACAATTTAAAACATGAGTCTATTTGTAACAGCTACATTTTTGCATCAGAACAGAGGAACGGGATGTTGAGAGAGGCTGCACATTAAAATCACCTGGGCAGCTTTAAAAATTACATAATCCCGAGCCCCATGAGCAGAGATTCTGATTCACTTAGGACTAGGACTGCTACAATTACATTTGCAGGTGGGGCAAAAGTAGGTTAACAGTTGTAAGTGAAACGCAGAGTTTATTCCTGTATTTATTATTAATTATTGCATTATTTTACATGAGAACAACTGTAAACCTACTTTTGCCCCATCCTAGTTCTATGAACACAAAGGATGCAAAATTATGAAATGGGAAGAGGTGGAATACAACTAGCATATGAGGGGATATTATTAAACCAGAACTTGTTTCTCATAAGTTTGAGAAAGTTCTGAGCCAATTCCACTTTATTGATTGATCAATTGATTTTGAGAGAGAGAGAGAGAGAGAGAGAGAGAGATTGTTTTGTTCCACTTATTTATGCATTCATTGGTTGCTTCTTGTATGTGTCTTGACCAGGAGATCCAACCCGCAACCTTCACATAGTGGACCCTCTAATCACCTGAGCTACCCATGTCCTATATATTTAACAATTTGTAAATGCCAAGGTGGAATTACAAAAATTGAGGTATATTTTAAATATTTAGGTTTAGCAAATCAATGCTTTTAACATACAGATACAAAGACTAGTATACCTCATCTGGAAGGAGCATTGGAAGTCCACATTTGAAGCCTTTAAAAATGGCCTTACTGTCCTCTTCCATACATTCGTTGAGTCCAATTTCACAATATCTGAAGAATTCAAATTGTTCTTATCTTTTGACCTTGGGAAAAAAAAAATCTGTCTTCTCATATGAATAACAAGTAAATACAAAAGGATAGTCATTACAATATTGTTTTTAATAATGAAAACTAGAGGGAAAAAGTCAAAATGTCCATCATTAGAAATTTGATTAAATAGGTTGTGTTATATCCATACAACTCAATACTGTGTGCATGGGTTAAAATGAATGAAATGTCTACACAACTGACATTAAAAGAAGTCCACGATTTATTTTTAAATAAGAAAAGCAGACTGCAGGGCAGTCAATGAAACAAACGAGAAAAGTAAAATTAGTTTTTACTTCTCGCTTACGACAGTCTCATAACTTGGGTGATATTTATTGAGTACCTACCTCCAGCCAGACCGCTGTACAAACCCAATTTGCCACAATGACAGAAATGTTTCTTACTCATATGTGAGAGAGCCCCGCCCAGGAGTTGCCGAAATAGCTCAGTTGGGAGAGCGTTAGACTGAAGATCTAAAGGTCCCTGGTTCGATCCCGGGTTTCGGCAACTGTTTTAGGCGGACCTGCAACGTTCTTCCAAATCGGCAGCACGTTCCTCTTTGTGACAACATCTCCGACATTTTCACTCGCACGTGGTTGGCAACGTGCTGGGCGTGGACCCGGGAGTACCGGACTGCTTTTTGCCTCCGGGTGAGAGAAGACTGGAAACCGGAAAGGGATTTTGTTGTGGCTTTTCACCTGCTCAGTGTAAAGTCAGCGTCCCCTCCTTGTTCTTGGGTCTGGGTGACACTACGCTCTCCCCACGCACGGCGTGCCGCTCACTTTCTTACAGATCTTCCCAGCCCTCCCTCTTTTTCCCGCGTTTCGGAGCCCGTGTAGGGGGCCTGGGCCGATCAGCCCCCGCCGCCGGCCCCCCGCTGGGAGTGGGCGGGGCTCGGCTGGGCCGGCGACAGCCCGGGCCCTCTCTCCGCCAGCGAAACCCTCGGTTTCCGCTGGGTCCAGCTCGACGAACAACAACGACCTGGGAAAACTTGGTGGGGGTAGGGACAGGTAGCCCTTTCTTTCTTTTCCTTTTTCCTTTTTAGTGAATTTATTGGAATGACATTGATAAACAAAATTAAACAGGTTGCAGGTGCACAGTTCGACAACACTTCATCTGCATACTGCACTGTGTGTGCACCAACCCAATTCCTGCTCACCTTTCAAAGTACGACACTTCTGCTCGATTTTCCCTGCCAGGTTCTACTCCGCACGCCGTCCAGTCGTTCCTCTGTGAGCCCCTGCATATTCCTCTATTAAAGCCCTGACTGCACTGGCTCTCAAAGGTTTGCTGCGGGCACACTTGCCTGCCCGACCTCCCGTGCGGGGAGCCGGGGCCCGGGGGTGGCGCTGGTCGCCAGGAGCTTCCCGGAGAGGGTGGCGATCAGGCTGAGTTCTCAAAGGTGCCTGAGGTGGACGACGGGTAAGGAGTGAAAAGGAGGTGACGTTCCAGGTACAGGGAACAGCACAGGCAAAGGAGCAGAAGATTAAAAGAGCGTTTATGGGTGAGAAGTGGGGACGACGGGTTCAGCCGGAGAAGGACGGTGGGAGCGCGCGTGCGCGCCGAGGCCTGAGCAGTGGGCCGGGCGGGCGAGCGCGACCCAGGGCGGGGGCACGCGTTCGGAGCCCGGGCCAGAGGTGGCGGCCGCCGCTGCTGGCCGGACCCAGGAGGTCTCTCCCACCTAAGGCCCTTCGCGCTTCTTTTCGAGGTGGGCACCTGGAACGGGGACTAGGGACTGCGAAGCAGTGCTTTTCGGAAAAAGGGGCAGCCAGATGTGTTTAAAGAGGGGGCAGCCTTGTCGCCGACCGTGGGCGCTTTGGGATTGGGGCAAACAAACGCGCAGGGTGGGGACAGTGAGTAAGCGGCTTCTTCTTCCTCTGCAGGTGTCGGCAAAACTCAGGATTCACTTTCTCCAAGGGATCTCTAAAATAATACGGCGCGTTCTCTATTTTATTTAAGAAATGTGTCTGCAGCCGCCAAAGAACGACCTCATCTCTTTCCCTCCAGACTCCTTGGGTCGGTATCAGATTGAATTACGTGCAGAGAGGACACAGAAGTCGTTAGCGTCTGCCTCAAACTACGACACAGTGTCCATTCACCAGTTAGTTTTTATGTGCAGTACTAGATAGTTCAGTCGGTAAAATATCAACCCTAGAACTAAGGGTTCAAGTCCCCGGTCAGGCAGAACGTTCTTTCCTTTTTTTCAATATAATTAAAGAAACGAGCCCCCGGCCGGGCGCCTCCAGGACTCTAGGAACTAAATAGGCTGATTTATTCTGCAATCAACCACCGGCCTGCGGGGTTCCAACTACTGCTGTAATTAAAGAATGGCTGGGGAGGGGGGCCGGGACTGACACCTTCAGGACATTCCCGGGGCTCCCCCTCCCCAGTCTCTGCTCACCTTTCCGCTCCTGTCCTTGGCGGACGCTCTCTTGGGTGCCCCCCAGCTAGGTGCCTGCGACCCCACCTTCCTGCCCGTCCAGAGAATTTTCTGTACTCTGAAAAGAAAGAGATGACCAACCAGAATCGGAGGCACCAACCAAAGCAGTGCATCCCCCAAACGAAGCCAAATCTCTCCCCTTCCCCCAAAGCGTGACCCTGAACACCGGGAGGAGCTAAGGCTGAGAGGGCAGCTTCTGCTGGTGGGCGGATGAGGGTGCATATTGGGAAAGAGCGTATCCAAAGGACTGGGATGAGACAAGTCCTAGTGTTGGGGAAACAAAAAGGTTAGCTCCCACCAACTACAAATGAACAAGGAAACACTGGGTTCCTGAAAGGGTTAGAGGAGGTTGGGTTGTGCACCCAAGAGACACACAGGCATGGTTTCCCCGAGACTAAACTAATGTCCCCTTGAGGTGAAGGGACCATCCTTGCTTAGCTAGAGGTTGAGCCTTCCTTTGTTCTACCAGGCAACAGAAGGAAGTCTGTCTTGATCTCCCCATTAACAGGATGGGGGTGGGGGGCTGAGTGAGCCTGCTGCCCTCTTAGCTGATGGACTGTGGTACCCAGGGAGTCCTGGTTAATAGGGCATGGCCTCCAGCGGCCACGTAGGAGCGCCTCGCCCTGAGCACCCAGCAACCCACAGTTCCACCCCCTCTCCAAAGCGCAGCTTCCTCAGCGGCATCCATCTCATAAATTTTAGTGATTAAATACAATAACCTGTTCGAGTAGTGCCTAATAGAGTCTTAGCCTAAAAGCAAACTTTCCATACATTGTAGGTATTATTATTAAAGAGGTTTCTAGGCTAAAAAGAAAATATAAGTACTGAAAGAGGTGAGAACCATTTCAGAGAAATATATTCCCAATATGCCCAAGATCGTAAGTCCATATTCATGTGACTTGTGGTGGTCGGTATATGCCAAAGGGACAGCCATGGTCACGGATCCAGGGAAGAGTGGACTGGCTGGTTACTGGGGGCTTCTTTCTTGAAGAAAGTGAATCATGGGGCTCTCATGGCGTTTCAGGGATGGAAACAATGTCAGAAGTTCTGGCAAACAGTGGAATATTTCTTGTTCCCGAGAGAGTCCCTTGGAACAGGATCAATTCACTTTTCACAGCCTTGAAAAGTGAGTTCCTTCGCTCTGTCGTGTGACTGAAGGAGAGTAGCAGGCCCTGGGGAAGAGGGGACAAGGGCGGAGCCTCCTGAGACTCCTGGTTCTCGCCTCTCTCTCTCAGGCTCATGCCCACTCTAGCTGTGGTTTTCACCCTTGGATGAAAAGTAAGAAAAAATAAATAAAGTCTGTCTCTACCAAGATTTTTTTCGGGCTCTGGAGCTGGATAACAACTTCATGGCAGGGGGTAGGTGTGGGGATTGAATGCGTCCATGTGGATCATGTGCTGGGCACACAGTAGGCATTTAGTAAGTGTCTGTCTTTACTTTTATTAGAACCCTGAGCAGAGGTGGAGGAAGCATTAGGGAGACAATAAAAATAACCGGGGACCAGGTCCAACGCGAAATTCTCCTCATATGACAGGAACTGGTTTTCTCACGGCTTTCAAACTTCGGAGCTAAAAACAATACTATTTGCAAGATGAAATCAGAAACTGAAAAGATGAAGGCGGATTTTTTTTTTTTTTTAATTTTAAATTTCACGAACAGAATAGAACTGCCTATCAGGCCCGCCGAAATAGCTCAGTTGGGAGAGCGTTAGACTGAAGATCTAAAGGTCCCTGGTTCGATCCCGGGTTTCGGCAGGTGTTTTGCAGCCCTATCTCGGCACAGGACTGGAGTCCAGTGCTTTCCTTATAGTATCTTAGCGGGCACATGACAATGAATCTACGGTAGTTTCAGGTCTAGGAGGGAGCCAAGAGCTTGAACCGCTTAAAGATTAGTCGTAAATCATGCCATGATCTGCACCAACCCCTAGTCACTCCATCTAGACTGTTGGGTACTGGGTGGCCACGTGTGGCAGGATTCCTAGCGTGGTGGCTGAAACGGCTGGGCCCCAAGGAAAAGGTGTTAGGGTTGGTCACCGGTGCCGCCCGTTTTCTGGGCATGGAAGGTGTCTCAACCGCGACAGACCTGAAGACAGGCTTTTAAAACGTCTTACTATCCAGCAAAGGCTCGCACATCGGGGGCCCACCAGCGCTTTGGCAACCTGCTGGATGATCCCCAGCTGGTGAAGCTGATTTGCAAGCACGAGTCTCGGCTTGAATTTTTTTTTTTTGGCGGGGGGGGTCGGGCGGGGGGGGAGGAGGGAGCTCCGTTTTCTCAGCGCGGCTTTAGTAAAAAGTGTCTGAACTGTTCAGCACCCAAAGCTGTGCCCGTACAGCCCGGAGCGCGACTGCCGTGACTGATGATCGGGGTTCCGTTGCTTTGCGTATGTGTTTACTTACGTTTTGAATAGAAACGCAATACAAGCTGGTTTTAAGGGGAAAATATCCCAAGACAGGGTAACACGGGAAGGCCCGAAGAGAAAGGACCGAGGCTGGGAGAGAGGTTAACCAAACGTTAGCCTCACCTTTTACCTCACAGCCGAGGTAGTTTCTGGAAAGCGAGACCCAGTTGCGTTTGGCATAAACTTATACCTGCTCAGTAAGAGCGGCCTTGACACAGATCCAAAGTGGGGAAGCCGGGAGAGGTGGTGGAGAGGAGAGGAAGATGTTTAAAAATACTCCGCCCAAACGGGGGCCCGAACCCTGGGCCCTCAGGTTAAAAGCCTGCTACTCTACCGACTGAGCTATCCGGGCACAAACTGCAGTTTTTTCTACAAAGGAATCCACGTGAAACAGTCCAAGTGACCGCTTTCTGCTCCTATTGGATTGAAATTCGGAGTCTATTGGCTGATTCCCTGAGAAGTGAAAGTGCAAAACTAAACTCGAGCAGGCGTTTGGCGGAATAGAGCCTTTATTCCTCCTTTTCCCTGTTACAGGGAGACTCTAAAGGAAAGAACTGCTGCCTGCCCCGCCCCCGCGTCCTAAAGGAAACTGAATTCCCCTGTAAGAGGAATTCTCCAGGCTTAGGACCTTGGGGCAGGCCTCCCGGGAGTAGCAGGCTTTCTAATCCCCATCTTGGTCTGATCCCGATCTTTGAAGAACACCAGAGCGTCTCGTGGGTGGAGCCTTACTAAAAATCGATTAGGCTTCCCATCCTCTCCTGGGCAGTCATTGAGCGCATGCTGCATTGGGGGACCGGAGCGAGCGGGCTTTCGCGACTGCCAAGACCCGGTTCCCGTCCTCGGCGGGGCGCAAGGACGCGCGGCCCAGCAGCACCCGGTCCCGCGCTTTGATGGTGGGAACCCCGCCCCTGCGGGCCCGGAGGACCCCGCCGACTCCAGGATTAAGGAGCCGCCGCGTCGTCAGCGGCGGGTGGTGGCTGACTGGGCTGTGCGCGGTGACGGCGCCTCTGAGGCCTTGGGAAAAGAATTCTGTGCAAACAGGAAAGCACGTGCGCTAGGGACTCGGAACATTTTTGCGAAGCTTTCCGTGGAAAGGTTTTGATCAGACAAGCTCCAGTCTGGGATGCTGTTTTCAGGAAGCCCTGTCGCCCTGGGCGGCTCTGTCCCCCACAAAATCAATAAGTCAATTTTATTCATTCGTCCTGCCCCTGCCTTGCCCTGCCATTCCGCGGGGCGGTGGCGGGGGAGGGCGGGGGAGCGGCTCTGGAAGGGAATCCTATGGGGCGGAGCCTCGCAACCAGTTCAGCCCTCCTTGGATTTTGGGGGCACCGCTCTGTAGGGGAGACGTGAGGGCCGGCTTCTTTTGTGGAGAAATGTAACGGGAAGTAGGAGCAATGTTCAAAAGGTGATCCGTATGGAAAGATATCCATGTGAAGCAAAAGCAACACAAGGTGCTAAACAATGTACGTAATATTTATGAAAAAATGAAAGGATACGTATTTGAATCCTTAAGTTATACACATGTGTATTTTGGGCGCTTGCTTATACGTAAGAGATGTTGAAGGATAAAAAGCAAGCCCACAAACATTTCCAGGGATGGCAGTGAAGGGTGTGAGAAGGGGCTCCTGCCCCTTTCTTCAGGTCCATCTGTGTTACTGGATTTTAAAAAAACAAGCATGTCTTCTTTTTGTAATAAAATATATGAACAACGACCACAACACAAAAGATGCCGTCTCTGTAAATTATTCCGCCCTCTCGGGTCCTATAGGCAGCCCTTCAGATCACGCGTTCCTGGCCCCTGCTTTCTGCAGACCCCGCAGAGGAACGTGAGCCGCACGGATTTCCTTCCCAGGAGGGAATCCCTGCAAGAGACCCTCCCAGGCCTCGAGGTTCTGGAGGAGAGTTGCGGGTACTGAAAAATTACAAATAAATTAGGCACAGTGTTCACAAGTAAAGATGTGGGTCCCTAAGAATCAGATGACAAGCCTGGGCGCAACAGGGAACATTAACCCCTCCCCATAGAACGCCCCCCCCCCCCGCCGACCCCCTTAACCCACCCGCTTGTGAAAAGAGCCTGCTGTGCCCCGGGAGAGTCGGCGGCGAGCCTTGGGCCTAACGCGGCGCCTTGGAGCAGCGCTGCGGTCCCAGTCGCTGCTGAGCAGAGGGGAGGGGAGAGCGTTCCCGTGCAGGGGACTGATTCCGTCTCCAGATGGAATAAATGTGTCCTAAGCTCTACGCCACTCCATCGCGCCACCTCGTTTTATTCTCCTTAAAGCGCTTATTACCATCGAAATTCCATTTATTTTTGTTTATAAACCACCTTTCCCCCCCTGCCATTCTGTCATAAAAATACTGCTGGGCAATAACTTTGTTGGTTGAGACCTTGTCTTGTTTTGGTTGCTGTTGTTTTTTGTTTAGTTTCGCATTTTTATCTTTTTAAAAATTGTTTCTGCATTGCCACAGCCGCAGGATTTAGAACAGTACTTGGTACATAGCAGGATCTTAAGAAATAACTCGACTAATTTCAAAGAGTGAATGGTTTTACTGCACAATGTGTTTCCCTCACAATGTCATACAGTTTCAAACAGGTATTTTATATTTTCCAAGTCATTGTCTGGCGAAAAGACACTAACCCCAACATTAGGGTGTCATTGTAACGTGGGGAAAACCTGGAGTTGTACAACAAATGTACACATGGTTCGGCACGAACTTGGAAAGACTTATCCTTTTATTTGCTTGGTTTGAGGAAAGCAGAGCAACCTTTACAGATGTGGGGTTTGAACCTACGAGGCTGAAGACCTACAGATCTGCTACGGCCCAGGCCTTCACCACTCGGCCACTCCAGCACCCCAGCTCTGGTATTCTATTGCCTGATAATCTGAAAAGGACTGAGCTATTGAAAAGTGGCAGTACAACGTAAATATTTTATGCCTGATGTAAAAGAACAATGCTGTAAAGGGGGAAAAAAAAATCTTAGTAATTTTTATCACACCGAATTTCTTCATCTCCAGGTCCCAGAAATTTTGGAGCCACATGAAATTGATGGAGAAGACAAATTCAGGTAGTGGGATTTCTCCGCACACCTTCCCCACAGAGCACCCATGAAGAAACTGGGATGAGCGTCTCCCTTCTTCCTGGTGGGAGCGTCGGATTAAGGATTTAAAATTAGTAAGGTGTTTTGTTTTTTCTTTTTACTTCTATTCCCCACCTCCCCATATCAAAACAAAAGCGACTCTGGTGGGACTCGAACCCACAACCTTTGAATGCCTCCACCTATCTAGAAGTCCAATGCGCTATCCATTGCGCCACAGAGCCAAGCGTCTACACCGTTTGTTGCGCTGCTTACATCAAAGCATGAGCGGTGTCTACCGGGGGACACTCACCGCTGGTTAGGTCACGCTTTTTTCCTGCATGAAATCCTGCTTCCTATGTCTCCAAGATAAAGCGTGGATCGGAGTTGCGCTTGAGAGTCTGAAATTATTTTGAAAGTTTCTCTCCTAGAAAGATCGCCCGGCGTCAAACCTCAGCTTCATCCCACATCGGACAGCAAAAGGTCTTTGTGTGGAGTTATTCGACCTTGGCGCGCGGGTTTTCACGTGCGGTTCCATAGTGTAGCGGTTAGCACATCTGCTTTACACGCAGAAGGTCCTGGGTTCGATCCCCAGTGGAGCCACAGCGCGAAGGTGTTTCCTTTTGATATTACTCCTTTAGGGTAAGCGTTCCTTTTGACGGCCAGATCTTGCTTTTTGCTCGGGGACGAGGCAGACGCTGCGGTTTCGGCCGTTACTCAGGGCATTGTCTCCACAGGCCGTTCCCGTTTGCCGGCGCGCTTCCGTAGATTAGCTGCCAAAGGCTGCCCCCGTGTGGCAACTCTTGGGAGGTGCAGGCGGCCCGGCCCAACTCCCGCCGCCGCTCGCCGCTGCGCCTGCGCCCTCGTGACTGCCCTAGCTCCTTATTTTGCAGGTGCCAGGACGGGAGCCCAGTCCTGCACGCTTCTAAACCTTGCGTGGTACCGCCACTTGTTGGATCTCTCCACAGCTACCTCCCTCCTTTGTTAATTAACTTCAAGTCCACTGATACCTAAATTAAAAATAGTGTTTTCTTTTTGTTTTTTTTTGTTTTTTGTTTTAAATTATATGCCTGTGGTAAAGAATTCAAACGGCTCCACATGTTTTACATGATGTTTCCCACTGGCAAAGGTTTTCTCCTTGACCAAGCTCCAGGCTGGCTCCTCTGAGCGCGCCTCTCAAGAACACCCATCGACCTTGGCCTAGAACGATTTGAATAAACAGTAACAGGGACATCGTCCCTAGCAGCCTCAAGGAAGCGACCCTGAGAGGACTCTAGCTCCACTTTTAATCCAGCTTTGTTAGGGCGTAACTTGCATACAATAAACTGCACCCAATTCAAGGGTACAATGGAGGAGTTTTGACATACACAGGGCCCAGCACCAATAACGCCCTTTTTTAAAATTACAAAATCGTAAGCATGTAATTCTGTAACATAACAATATCACACTCAAGCATGCCGTATGACATTTTAAGTGAAATGTTCAAATTAGAACTATAAATTATTACACCCATATTATTATCCTACCAACCCCACTCAAGCCCCACCTTACTTCTGCTGGACCCAGTATATATACGCCTGTGAAGCCAGCACCACAGTTTGGATAAGGAACATCTCTATCACCCCCAGAAGTTTCCTTGTGCTCCTGAGAATTACAGAACTCTCAGCATACAGTAACAACTTTGTGCAAACCTCGGCACCGAGAGAATCCAACCTGTACCCTGGTCCATGGCAGAATATGACATGCGCTTAGGATGACTCCTGCCTCCCATTAAAATGCCTGTCTAGGAAAGCACCCAGCTGCCTGGAGAATTTACTGTTTTTTCCATGAACAATGGGGTAGTCCCTGACCTCCCTTTCTTAAAGCATTCACTATAAAGGGCTTGCATCTCAGGACCGCTTTCCCTTTCATACTTGGAAGACAACTCAAGCAGCAATAGCTCAACAAAACTCTGAAGAGCCCCTCTTCCCCCGGCCCCACCCAGCCCCCGGCTCCCCCAGCGCCCCGCCCCCTAGAGTAGTATCGGGACTGGAATTTCATGGATGCTTAAATATAGTTCCGTGGTGCTGACTCCTCTAGCATTTTAAAAATAAATCGAAACAATCCGAACCTCCTTGGAATTTCGCAAAGAAGTCTAGAATGGCAGAATCCCACCTAAACCAGCCCGTTTGTATATACACATACATTTATTTGCTGATATAAATATTGTGGAAATTTAAAAATAGGTTCACAGGGCACAGCTTGGAGTCTATTCTTTGCCCGTACCATTTTAATTTATCTAC